GGCTGGCTCAAGAAAACCTCATCCATAACCTCTAGGGAGTCATGCTTCTGGGGACCCAATTGGCAATAGAGAGACCGGGTTTAGAGTCTTAGCAACCTCCAGCCAGACGTGTGGGTTTTCACATAGCGTGCTTGGTATTTGACCATCTGAGAGTTAGTCAGCCAATAATTTCCCTTATACTCTGTGAGTGTTGGGACAGAGTGGGGAACTCAGTGAGTTCTTGCCCTAGGGTGAGCTTGTCTGCTTCTCTCACCAGGGCAGCAGTGGTTGCCAGAGCACGCAGCCAAGGCAGTCAGCCTTGGGAAATGGCATTAAGTTGTTTTGACAATAAGCCACTGGATGGTGCCAGCCAGTAATAAGTCAGAATCCCAGTAGCTGTTCCCTTTCACTCATGTACATACAAGAAAAAGGCTTTAGTCCAGGCTTTCTGGACTGGTAATAAGGGGATATTCCAGGATGACTGACAAGGTTGGAGGATTCCAATTTTAAGAGTCTGTCAAAATGTCTTTGAATTCCAACCCGGGCCTTGCAAGGAATGAAGTACTGTTTTTGGCTGACAGGGTGGCTCCTGGCTTTAGTTCCACCACTACTGGGGGTACATTTTGGGCCTGTCCTGGGGGTTATCTTCAGCCCATACAACAGGAATCTTGAAGGGACGCTCAGGGATTTCAAGAGGCCTCCCTTCAGAGGCTTAGAGCTGCCATTCCTCTTCTTGTGTAATCGTAAGGATTAGAGTCTCTGCCTCAGGTCCTCTCAAATTTAAGTCTGTTATGCCATCCGAATCAAAGGTTATCTGTGTCCTCCGTTTGCATAATAAGTCCCTGCCCATCAGGCACACAGAACAATGAGGGAGATAGAGGAATTCATGCCTTACTTCATGACTCCCAAGATTGCATTGTCTAGCCATAAAGAAGGGGTGATGGACCTGGTCCCCTGTAGCCCAATAACAGTTGTATGCCTTTTGGAAAGAGGGCTGACTGGACTGGGTTGGGTCATGACTGAATGTTCTGCACCTGTATCCACCATGAGGTCAACGGGATGCCCCGTTTTCATTCAGACCACAGGCTCCTGGGGCCCAGTAGAATGGAGGCCTGTCTGTCCTAGTCCTCCTCATAGCTTTCCAGGCCTGCCAGACCAAAAATGCTTTCCTCCCAGGGGCTGGCTCCCCTGCAGTGGGCTGATATTTTCCTTTGACAACTTGGCCTCTGCCTCTGGTCTGGGGAGCCCTTTGGAGTCCCTGGCCTGTTGGGGACATTCGTTCTTCCAGTGCCTTCCTGACGACAGTAGGTACATTGATTTACCCTAGTTCTCCCTGGGGACTGACCTGGGGACATTTGTTGCCATCCTTGGGGATTGCCTCTGCCTCTGCCTGGATTGGCTCACCAGGGCCCATCTGACTGTCCAGCAAGAGCTGCTGCAAGGAGGTCCACTTTCCTTTTCATCTTCCTGTTGGCCTCCCATCTATCCTCCTGATCTCGATTGACAAAAACCTTGTGGCCACCTCCAGAAGCTGTCTGGCATTCATTCTAGCAAATCCCTCCAGCTTCTTCAACTTTCACCTTATGTCCCCCTGGGCCTGGCCAACAAAAGCAGCATTGGTCATCTGCTGGTTTTCAGTGGCATCTGGGTTGAAGGGGGTGTATAAATGGAAGGCCTCATACAAGTGCTCATAGAACTGGCTGGGACTCTCATCTGGTCATTGGAGAACTTCTGATGTTTTGCTTGTGTTTATGGCCTTTTCCCCTCCTTCCTTATGCCTCCCAATAATGCCTCCTGATACCGTTCAAGTCACTGGTAGCCTCAGTCATCATTAGGGTCCCAATGGGGGTCTTCCTCAGGGAAATAGGCCTTAGGATATGCCTGGGGGTGCCCTTAGGGGCATGACCTTCTAACCACTTTAGAGCTGCCAAAAGTACACAGCTCTGCTCTTCAGTATTGAAAAGAGTCAGGAGAAGCTGTTGACAGTCTGTCCAGGTGGGTTTGTGAATTTTGGATGATAGATTGCATCAAATCAATCAGAGCCTGAGGTTTTTCCATGAAGGAGGGGGTACAGTGTTTCCAGTTGAGAAGGTCTGTGGTGGTAAAAGGCTGATAGACAAATACCCATCCTCCTCCTTGTATTTGGCCTTCCTGCATAATACATGGGGCTCTGGGCTTCCCTCAGGGGCATCTGCATAGCAGCAGGAGTCTGAGGGAGGAGGGGTCCTCATGGAGACTAGATGTCCCTGATTGAGTGCACGAACACTGGCGGACTTGGAGTGGATATAAAGTCCTTAGGACTCAGGGAGGTCAGGGGAGTCAGGTCCCTAGAGGCTTCCAAACCAGATTTTACAAGTGTGACTGTTCCTTGATCTTCCCCATCCAATGTTTGAGGCAGGGGGGGGGGGGGCCGGGGGGGGGGGGGGGGGGGCAGCCAGGGGGGGGGGGGGGGGGGGGGGGGGGGGGGGGTGGGGGGGGGGGGGGGGGGGGGGGGGGGGGGGGGGGGGGGGGGGGGGGGGGGGGGGGGGGGGGGGCGGGGGGGGGGGGGGGGGGGGGGGGGGGGGGGGGGGGGGGGGGGGGGGGGGGGGGGGGGGGGGGGGCGGGGGGCGGGGTGGGGGGGGGGGGGGGGGGGGGGGGGGGGGGGGGGGGGGGGGGGGTGGGGGGGGGGGGGTGGGGGGGGGGGGGAGGTGGGGGGGGGGGGGGGGGGGGGGGGGGGGGGGGGGGTGGGGGGGGGGGGGGGGGGGGGGGGGGGGGAGGGGGGGGGGGGCGACGCTTCTGAAACTGTGAGGGGGGGTGGGGGGGGGGGGGGGGGTGGGGGGGGGGGGGGGGGGGGGGGGGGGGGCCTGTGGGGGGGGGGGGGGGGGGGGGGGGGGGGGGGGGGGGGGGGGGGGGGGGGGGGGGGGGGGGGGGGGGGGGGGGGGGGGGGGGGGGGGGGGGGGGGGGGGGGGGGGGGGGGGGGGGGGGGGGGGGGGGGGGGGGGGGGGGGGGGGGGGGGGGGGGGGGGGGGGGGGGGGGGGGGGGGGGGGGGGGGGGGGGGGGGGGGGGGGGGGGGGGAGGGGGGGGGGGGGGGGGGGGGGGGGGGGGGGGGGGGGGGGGGGGGGGGGGGGGGGGGGGGGGGGGGGGGGGGGGGGGGGGGGGGGGGGGGGGGGGGGGGGGGGGGGGGGGGGGGGGGGGGGGGGGGGGGGGGGGGGGGGGGGGGGGGGGGGGGGGGGGGGGGGGGGGGGGGGGGGGGGGGGGGGGGGGGGGGGTGGGGGGGGGGGGGGGGGGGGGGGGGGGGGGGGGGGGGGGGGGGGGGGGGGGGGGGGGGGGGAGGGGGGGGGGGGGGGGGGGGGGGGGGGGGGGGGGGGGGGGGGGGGGGGGGGGGGGGGGGGGGGGGGGGGGGGGGGGGGGGGGGGGGGGGGGGGGGGGGGGGGGGGGGGGGGGGGGGGGGGGGGGGGGGGGGGGGGGGGGGGGGGGGGGGGGGGGGGGGGGGGGGGGGGGGGGGGGGGGGGGGGGGGGGGGGGGGGGGGGGGGGGGGGGGGGGGGGGGGGGGGGGGGGGGGGGGGGGGGGGGGGGGGGGGGGGGGGGGGGGGGGGGGGGGGGGGGGGGGGGGGGGGGGGGGGGGGGGGGGGGGGGGGGGGGGGGGGGGGGGGGGGGGGGGGGGGGGGGGGGGGGGGGGGGGGGGAGGGGGGGGGGGGCGGGGGGGGGGGGGGGGGGGGGCGGGGGGGGGGGGGGGGGGGCGGGGGTGCGGGGGGGGGGGGGGGCGGGGGGGGGGGGGGGGGGGGGGGGGGGGGGGGGGGGGGGGGGGGGGGGGGGGGGGGGGGGGGGGGGGGGGGGGGGGGGGGGGGGGGGGGGGGGGGGGGGGGGGGGGGGGGGGGGGGGGGGGGGGGGGGGGGGGGGCGGGGGGGGGGGGGGCATCCTTTTGTGGTCCATCATTTCAAGGTCTGTGGTAGGCTAGAGCTAAAGAGCCGGTGGGAGCTTCAGAACCAGCTAAGCCAGGCCTTAGCAAGGTTTACTCAGTAGTAAGTTGCAACCAGGCTGCTTCTGACTTTGCACTGCTTTCAACCTCTGTTTTGTATTTAATTCAACTCTTACTCTGATATCTATTATTTATGCCCTAAAGTATGTTAAGATCAGCTACCATAGTATTTGACTGAATTTTCTACAAGACTACATCTACCTCCCACATACCAACAATTTAAATAGTAAGTCCTAGATTATGTAATGACCTGGCCTTCCTGATACCAGAATTTTCTTTCTATAGAGGCAGCGCTCTGTGGAATGAGTACTGGGCTTTGGTCTACAGTTCTTCCCTCTTTGTAGCTGTGTGGCCCAACTGCTGATACCTTAGGTCTTCTCCTTGCTAATGCAAAGATACCATCAGACACCGTTGCAAGTTTGTAGTAAAGATCAGCAAGAATTATATTAAATGCTAGCACACACAGGCACTCAACTAGTGAAGAGACAAGGGGAACACAGCTTTTTCTTTTTAGTGACTACTATTCTTTACCCGCGCTGCTTGTCTGACAGGGTTGGAATGCAGGAAAGACAGGATCCTCCCTCAGAGTACAGAGGGAGGGTGAATAGTGCTTAATTTCTCACAAAAGTCTGAGAAAAAGCAGTAATAATTGTCGAGTGAGTGACTTTAGGACTTCCTGAGGCAGTCCTAAGTATCTGCTCTCACAGGTTACTTCCAGTGTTGCTTTTCTGCCTATGCCTACACTTAAAAGAGTACCACTTTGCCTGGGTTAATCTCACCGCTGGATGAGGCAAATTGGAGTATCTTTCTAGAAACCTCTACATCATTCATTTCCATACTGATTAATTGCTTGTGGAATGCACAGTGCCTTGTCTTGCTTCGAACTTGACATTGAAAATCTCTAAGGGAGAAAATTTCCTGAGTTTTCTGGTTCAAGTTTTTAAGAATTTCCCAGAACATTCATAAAGATAAGGATCGCAGGGCAGTTTCAGAGATTTGTAGCTTAAATGTGGCCATGGCACTCTCTATCTTAGGATCATATGCTAAAATATTTCTTTCGTAGGTTGGTGCAGCATGATCGAGCTCAACTTCAAGGATGCATTCAGTTCCTTCGAGAGGCTGAAAAACGAGTCCAGGTGGTCACAGTGCTACTATGCATATTTGACCGCAGGTGAGTCAAGGTCCATCATGGCCATACTTGCCTCTCTGCGGCCAGTCAGTGGACATGCCCCGGCAGATAGGGAGTGATGGAGGAGGAAGCAGAAGCCTTGACCTTTCAGGTTTCCCCAGCACATTAACAGTTTGTACAGCCAAATAAACAGCAGTAGGACACTGTGTTGTTCACTGACCCAGATGGATACCGAAAAATTCAGCACGGTTCTGGTTCAATGCCCCTTCACCTTGTGCTGCCCTCCTGTGCTGTCTTGAAAATACTTACATTGTGAGGCTTTCCCAGTTTCTAGACATTTTGCCCTCAACAGACTCAAACTGCCCTTATTCCCTTTCTTTATTTGCTATAATTTTTAAAGAATTTGTCCTTTTCATTGTGTTAATTATTTGGTCAGTGCCCTGATTATGAAGTTGTATAGGTTTTGAGTCATCTGCTCTAACCTTGTGTTACCTGTGAATCCTGTTCAGTGTTACAGAATGCAGGGTACCTCGTCAGTGCATAGCATTATCAGAGAAACACTGGAAATTCCTTTTGTGGGTGATTTTTTTTTTGTTTTGTTTTGTTTTGCTTTTTGGCCCTTGTATGAAATAGTTGGAGATGTGCTGCCACCTGGTGGACAAAAATGTTGTCTGTCACTGTGCTACACAGTGCCATGTGGTTTAGAATTGTAAAAATGTGGAATTGAAAAGTCCTGAATAGTGGATTTCCTGCTTTTATGTAACTTTATGTAAATCTTGTCAGGTTTATGGATAATTAAACCTCACTATGCAGCCACACAAATTATTCTTTTACTTAAAAATTCAAGTTCAAGACTAACCCCAAATTTTTTTTTTTTTTTTTTTTTTTTTTTGGTGCTAAAGATTGAACCTAGGGCTTCACACACAGCACAAGCTACCCCACTGAGCTACACCCTCAGGCCTCCAAACATTAAACAACTCATTATTATTATTAACATTTGGATTTAATGAAACATTTCATTTTCATTCCATCCCCTTAACTCATCTAAACTGTTTAAAATAAGGTAAAATTAACATTAGCCAACATGTATAGTCTAGATATCTTAAAGTCCCTATAAAATTGCATCAGATTGTTAGCAATCAGTATAAAACTCTCTTCTATTTATGCCCCCTTCGTACAGTCTCTGTGGGACACCCCCATTTTCTTGTAACTCTGTATATGATGTTTGAATAAGCTTATTTCTAATACATAAGTTTTGTATATTGTGTCTCACACTTAAAGTGTTGTTTTATAGAATTTTCAGGCATCTCAGATTAAAGTAAGACTATTTATTGAGTGGTTTTGGTGTGCCTAACACATTGAGAAGTCAGTGAACCCTAATTGCATAGTCCAGAAAAGAGGGCTGCATGCAGCCCACCATCAGTGTGTGATTGGGCCACGGAGTTGAATGGCATCTCCCCATCTCTGGGGAGTATAAAAGTGCCTATATACGGAGCATTTATTCCCTAAATGTTTGGAAATCCTTGGACTACTCTAGTGGGGGAGATGACCAGCATGAAAGGTCGTAATCCTGTCTCGCAAGGGGACCGTGAGCAGGACACAATATGTGTGTAGGTAGCTCTGCCATGCAGCATGTGAGGGGAAGGAGAGGGGCACTTCTTCCGACCATCAGGGAAGGCACCTTGCAGGAGCTGCCATTTGAGTTGACCTTGAAGGAAGCCGCATGTTGATAGGCAGGTTAGAGAGGATGGGCATTCAGTGACCAGAAATACTGCTGCTGGGGTTTAGTTCTGTGTCTTACATTTTTTATTATGTATGTGTAAATAAAACATACAGTTTACCATTTTTAAGTGTTTCTATTTATTGGCATTAAGTACATTTGCATTGTTGAGCAACCATCGTCACCATCCATATGGATACTCTCTCCCCACTAAACACTGACTCCTCATTGCCCCCTCCTAGTTACCATTGTTCTATATTCTGTCTCTAAAATCTCGACTATGTACATTATCCATACAGCAGAATATGTTGGTCTTTTTGTGTCTGATTTATTTCACTTAGCATAATGTCTTCAAGGTTGAACCATATTGTAGCATGTATCAGAATTTCCTTTTAAGACTGAGTAATATTCCACTGTATGTTCTACGCCTCCCACATTTTGTTTATCCTTTCACCCATCAATGGGCATTTGAGTTGTTTTTACTTTTTGACCATTGTGATTAATGCTTAGTGTGGAAATTGATATAAAAGTATCCATTTTTGAGTCCTTGCTTTCATTTCCTTTTGGTGTCTACCCAGAAGCAGAATTGTTGGCACATATCCCTGAAATACACTTGCAACTTTTTTTAAAGTTTGAAATTATATCAAAATTATAAGCCACCAAAAAAGACTAGAGTATCACTTATGGGATGGTGTAAAATGAGCCTTAATGGAAGAGCCAGGTGTCCTGAGTTCAGTTTAGTTTAGGCCTTACATGTTAGGGACTGAGACTCTCATTCTTTCAACATGTATCTCCAACTGTACTGCAAGAGGAGTAGGTAGTGTCTGTTGTGGACCTTTAGACACTGGTACTGTTGCTGTTTATGTCTGCCTGACTGTCTCTCTCTCTCTCTTGCTCTCTCTCTCTCACTCTCTTTTTCTGTCTTTAATTATGTGACTATATGAGAATGTTCTCAATGATCAGAGGAAGACCTCAAACTAAGGGCAGCAGAAACTTTTCTTTTCACCAGTTGCTTGGGTGACCTTAGACACCATTTCTCTTTCCTGGACTTCTGCATCCCTCTTTCTATAAAATGATGGGACTGGTTGCATAAGACAATCACTAGGCTTTCTTCTGAAAGGAAGGAAATGTTATTTTTGCAGCTGATTGGGTCATTTTGGATTGGTTCAGACCCTTATATCTGCACCAGGGGTGCTCCTGTAACTAGGAATGGTTTGTCTCTTCCTTTGCATATTTGCCCTAAGCCCTCTATCTCCCAGGAGACTCTTCTGCCTTTCCCATTATCTGGACATCCTCAGATTTTTACAAACCTTGCTTTTACTTCTTGCTTTGTTGATGGTTGCCCACCTCTGACCTGTCATAGCCCTGTGTCTGCCTGAGCGGTCTCACAGATGCAAGTGCGGGACCACCTGGTGTTTAGAGGTGCTTGAATAAAGAGAGCAGTACCAGTAAGACAATTTGAGTCCCTTCCAACTAGGGAGTGAAAAACAGTATGGGCCAACACAATATCTCAAACAAAAGAAGCAGAAGTGGATTCAGTGCTGTAGGAGTTAGGAGGGCAAAGAGCAAGGCTAGTGACAAAGTCTTCTTAAGAAGGTGGGGCTAACTTTGGGTGTGAAGTTTAGAGAAGGGAGAGAGCAGATGAAGGAAAGAAAGTGTGATTAAGTCTGGGGGCACAGGGTGGGACACAGATGGTGTGCTATCAGCTCTTACCCCCAGCTCCTCAAAACTTCCCATCTCCAAGGAGAACTGACCCCCTTATCTTCTGTCTGAGCTTTTATAAAAGCACTTTGGTTCTGTCCCGTAAGGGCTCCTGTCACTCTCTGCATTGTAGCGATGGGACTCTGGGTGGGATCACCCTCTGGCTGAAATTTACACTTCTTCCAGTGTAGGCATATATGTTGCTTCTTTACATTCTTGCTGGTGGCTTGTGATGCTAGGTGGCCAATGAGTATGTGCAGTATAATTCATGATGTTCTTTCCAGGACAAGGACATCCTCCTCCTGCCAGGAATCTCCCATGATCCTCTGAGCCTCACATTGCTCCTCCCTAGATTTCTGTTATTCCATTCTGTGAGCATGTGGGCTTTAACTAGGCCACACACTTTGGCAACAGCAGAAGATTTTATTATGTGAAGAGCTATCTCCCCAGCCAGAGGAACAGCACCAAAGTTTTCCCCACACCCCCACACCCCTCCAAAGCTCTGGGGACCCAGGCACTTGGGAAATATTTGAATGAATGGTGGGGCTTTCCTTTGTCTACTGGACTTTGAACGTACTTATTTTTTTTTCGTGGTAACATCTTCCAAATGTCACTATCCTAGGTGTCTCTTAGTGGCGTCTCCCCCCCTAGTATTTAAGAAATACAATTGCTGTGTCTTACAGTCTGTCAGGGAGCCACTGGTGACGTGGATGGGGCGCAGACTGTCTTTAAAGAAGCTCAGAAACTCTTCAAAAGGAAGAACAACCAGATTGAGCAGTTCTCGGTGAAAAGGGTACGTTGTTTTTTAATGTTGGTGGCACTAGGGCTGTTGTGTCATTTCTGGTGGACATTCATAAGAAAGACTGCACTGGACAGCCTCAGACCTCGTGTTCAAGCCTTGTGAGTTACTTGTTGTGTAAAACGCAACGCATCCTGTGAGAGAATTTCCTCAGGTGATCATAATTCTGCTCTGAACAAAAAGTGCCTGTTTTTGCTGCAAATAACTAAAGCGCTTTTTTTGTTTTTTGTTTTGTTTTAATGAGTAGAGGCTTTACAGACTCTGCAAAGCAAATGAGCATTTCTAGAAAGGGGAAGTATCTACCTAAAGAGTAAGTGGTTTTGGAAGAATACGAGTTGGCTGAGCCCAGTGAGAACTGCAGACTGTCTAGTGTACCGGGTAGTGGACACATCACATTTTGGCATGATAAAAAGCAAATGTATTCATTAGATTTATCAGCAGAAAGTCCAGGACTACAAGGACAATGTCCTAAATTGATTCTGCTTTTTTTTGAGAATAAGATTTTGCTGAATAACCTTGAGTTAGGTAATAATCTTGTCATATGTTGTAATTCCCATGATTTTAGTTTTGTAAGTTTTCTTTTATTCTGTAAGCTGGTTTTGTTAGCATTTTATTGAATGAACATTATATTCATGAATATAAATTAGATCATACTATGGAATGTAAGTGTGAAAGCCCTGGTACTAAGTAGAAAATTTAAAAATCAGTGGAACCATAACTGAAATGCACCGAGTCTTATGTCCTTGAAAAAGACCCATTGAGTTACTATTTGCCACACAGCTTTTGTAAGTTCATTGTTCTGCGCATTGCCACATTTTCAGAATATCTGTACCCTGGGGGTAAACTGAGCTGAATAATGAATATAACGTGTATCAAAACCTGGACAGTAAAAAATATTTTTCAAATACAGAAATGTTTACTTTTAGCTTTGTTAAGAGGGCCGTGCACTTTTTTATGTCTCCAAGTGTATTTTGCATTTGAACTTGTTCTTGCAAAACAGAGCCTAACCATTCCTACCGCTTGCAGGCAGAGAGGTTTCGGAAGCAAACCCCAACCAAAGTGCTGTGTGTGCTGGCCTCCATCGAGGTGCTGTACTTGTGGAAAGCCCTTCCCAACTGTTCCCTCCCCAACCTTCAGAGGATGAGTCAAGGTAATGATAGGGGCTCTGCACTTTGGATTGTGCCGTTAGGGCAGCTCCTCCTCAGCCCCATTAATGTCGTCCGATTCAGAGAGCGCATGTCTTGCACATCTGTCATGCTAGGCTAACTGGTGTAGAGGTAAAGGCAGTGCGTCATGTGTCAGATGCACTTTCCAGGCTAGGAGTACATAGTGATGCTCTGATGATAAATGTGATTAGTTTACAGCCGTGGGGGGTTGCTGGGAACAATTTCTCACCCCCCCAGTGAAAGCACTTCATTTCATACAGGTGTGATTCACATGCATAAAGAGCTTTGATATTAAAGTGTCTGATTCAGTGGGCTATGACAGGTGTGTACATCATTACAATCATGGCAGAACATTTCTACCCCCTTAACATTTCCCTGGTTCCCTTCCCAGTCACTCTCCATCGCAAGGCCACCATGGTTCTGATTTTTCTGTTCATAGATTAGCTTCGCCTGTCCTGAACTTTAGAGAGTCATACAGGTTGTACTTTTTGTGCCTGGATTCATTTGTCCTGTGAGATTTGCCCACGTTGTAGCCTGTGTCAGTAGATCCTTTCTTCTGCTTGCTGAGTAGAGTTCTATCACATGGCCGTACCCTCGTCAGTATCATTCTCTAATTGCTGGACATTCGCTTTGCTTTTGTTTTTTAGCTTGTTGATGATCTGTTTCAAATAAGTGTACAATGTATGCTTTGAAGTCTTCTGTGTACACACACATGCTTATTTCTCTTGGGTGAATACCTGGGTGTGTAATTAGATGCTACAGTTTTGATCCATGTGTTAGAAAACTCCTAAGACCATATATAACTTTGATAAACTCATTTTTATTATAGTTGCAGGAAAATTTCACAGACAGGATAAATTAAATCTTATAAAATAGTTTTGTTGATTATTAAAAAAAATAAGGTAACATTTCTTCTAAAGGTTGAGTGGTTGACACTTAAATAGCATTTTATAGCATTGCAAAATATTTACTCCACACCGTAACCCACAGAAGTAGGAAGGGAAGGCAGTTTTTTTGTTGTCTTTTTTGTGGTACTGGGGTTTGAAATCGGAGCTCCATGCTTGCTAAGCAGATGCTCTACCTCTTGAGCCATACCTCCAGCTCTTTGTGCTCTGGTTATTTTTTTTTTTTAATTAAATACTTTCTTTAAAATTTTTTCTCAAAGTGTTTTTATTAGCATACCTTGGTTGTACGAGGGTGGGGGAGAGTCATTGTGACATTCCTGAACAGCCTTACATTGTACATGGGTTAGGTTTGCCTTCACCACCTCTCCCCAAATTCCCCTTCCCCCCCTTAACAATTGTAAAAGATTTCATTGTTCTATTTCATATATGTATATAAAAACATTAACCATATTTGTCTTCCTTTATCTCCTTCCCTGTCCTCCCCTCTCGTATAAGCATTGCTTTTTGCCTGGGCTGTTCTGGACCATGGTCCTCCTGTTTTACACTTCACACCATCGCTGGGATGGCAGGCGCGAGCCACCACAACTACCTTTTTTTCTGTTCAGATGGGGTCTTTTGAGGTTCTTTCCACCCAAGCTGACCTGGAACCACAATCCTCCTGATCTTAGCCTCCCAACTAGCTAGGATTACAGATGTCATCCCACCAGCACCCGGCCAGGAAGGGAGTATTGTGCCCACTTTAGAATGAGGAAATGGGCTGAGCATAGCTAGGTGACTGTGAGTCTGAGGAAAGCATGATAGTAGCAGAGCTTTCAACAATCTCCCCATGGCCTGGGAGTGTGGAGAGGCTCAAACCATGCAGCTATAGGGACAACTTCTAGATGAGACTGCTGCATTGAAATAAAAGCACTGACCTCTAAAAGATGGCTTCATGAAAAGTATCTTGAAAATATATTCTTTCTTTTTTGGTAGGACTGTGGCTTGCAAAGCAGACTCTCTAGTGCTTGAGCCACACCTCCAGTCCATTTTTCTCTAGTTATTTTGGAGATGGGATGTCTCCAACTTTGCCTGGGCTGGCCTTGAACCATGATCCTCCCGATGTCAGCATCCCAAGTAGCTGAGATTACAAGCATGAGCCACTGACCCCCTGTGGAAATACATTCTTACCAAGGTATATGCTGCTTTTTCCCAAAAATTGGTTTAGTATAAATACTTTGGATTTATTCCAAAAATAGGTTATAAGCCATTATAGACAATTTGTTGGATTTTTCTGCAGTCATATTTGTTTTTGACCAACTGTGGTATTATCCATTGAATCATGTATTTTTATCATCAGACTTCATTATAGATTACTTTTGCCTGTTTCTTTAAAAAATACTACGCCCTTAATGGTTTAAAGTTTTGCCAGTGTTGACATTCCAGAGATCAAAGGAAACTCTAAAAGTTTGGCACAGTGGACCTGTAATTAAAGTAGGATGTACCCTCCCAAGGGAACAACCTGAAAAGAAACGAAACTTTCTTGGATGCCTAAGTTCTGCTATGTTCATTTTAGAAGAGTTTGCATAATTTAAAGTTCTTTCTTTGTTGAAGCAAGTATAGAACATCTACTAATGTCTAACTCACAGGAACAATTCAGGATCTTAAGTTGTTGATTTTTTTTTAATTGCAGTACTGGGATTTGAACTCAGGGTCTTGTACTTGCTAGGAAGGTGCTCTACCACTTGAACCATACCTCTAGCCCTTTTTTTGCTTTAGTTTAGTTTTAGCTAGGACATCTTGTTTTTACTGAGAACCAGCCTCAAACCTCGATCCTCTTACCTCTGCCTCCTGCATACCTGGGATGACAGACATGAACCATGACACCTGGCTTGTTTGTTGAGATGGGGTCTCTCTCCAGCTTTTTGCCCAGGCTGGCCTAGAACCATGGTCCTCCTGACCTCTGCCTCTGAGAAGCTGAAATTATAGGCATGAGTCACCACACCCAGCCCATAAGTATGTTTGTAATGTACAAGTGAGAGAGCACATATGTAAAGATAGTTAAAACACAACTCCACACGTAAGTTAGGCAGTCACTGACAGGCACAGTAATTATCATTTAAGCGAGATTTGACTAAATATTCTCTGAACCCCTTTTGAAGTTTCAAAATGAGCAAACTAACAGCAGAGGTGTTTGTGGACAGGGAGATAGGTTGTGGAGTGAAAGTAAGCTAGTTCTTTAATATCTCTATTAAAAGTTCACCCATTCTGAGATCTGTCAATTCTATCATTCCTCAGTGGTCAGCAGAAAGCTACAAATCCATTCAGTCATATAGAGTTCATTGTAGATCTTTGCACATTGCAGAAAAAACTGCTAACAGGCAGCGTGGATCATAAACATTTGTTAATTAAACGCGACCATGCAGCCCTCATTGTCATTGTGTATACTGAACTTACTGGAGTCCCTTCTGAACTCCAGTTGTCAGCATAGCTGCTGAGATCACTGCGCCCTCGTCTCCTGGTTTCACTTGTAGACTCTCCCCTAGTTCCTACCGCCCTCACCCCACCTATGGCATCCTTCCCTGGGGTTTAAAGCCAGCTATCTCTGTGTTCATAGCACAGCAGCAGCCTGGGTGATCCTATTAAAACCTGAGTCACAAGGAGTCACTGCACTTCTCAGAACTCTCTGTAGTCCATCCTCTCATTCCCAGTAAACACTCAGGTTCATTCAGTGGAGAGCAGTGCCTTACACAGTTGCTTCTCTGTTCCTTTCCCTTGCTCCATGAACTCCAAACATGCACTGTTTGAAGGTCATCCAGCACTGTTAGCCTCAGTGCCTTAGCACACGCTCTTCTTCCAACTGCAAGTGTTTTCCCTTCACTCACACATGTTCATATGTATTATATTAGCCATGAGAACTAGTCCAGAAATGATCTGATGTGCATGGGGACGTGGGTTGTTCTATGCAAATATTACACCATTTTATCCAAGAGACCTTGGCATCTGCAGATTTGGTATCCACAGGGGCCCTTGAATCAATTTCCCAAGATGCAGAGGGACCACTATTCTTGATTCTTGTTCTACCCTGTGCTTTTTCCATTGAACAGGAGTTTTGAGTTCATCTAATGTCACACATAGATCTGCCTGGTCTCTTGAATGTCTCTGTAGCATTCCAGATTCTGAGTATTGGTAACTTATTAACTGGTCCCTACTTGTGACCACATAAGCTGTCTTCAGGCTTTTGCTACATTTGATGCTATTGTGCTTTGATGACCATACTTAACATATCTCTGCATCTCTGTGCCTGTAGGGTCTGAGGGTAAGTTCCTAAACACAGGGGTTTCTGAGTCAAAAAGTATGTGCTCCAGACTGGGAATTTAGCTCCCATACTTAGTATGCACACAGCCCCAGCACCCCCAAGAAAAGTATGTGCTATTTAAATTGTATAATATCTGATACAATGTATCCCAACCCCCCTGATTTCCTTCTTTTTTTTTTAAAGCTAATTAATATTCCATTGTATGTATAGCCCTCATTTTCTTACCTATTCATCTGTTTAGTGTTTAGGTTGTTTTTGTAACATGGCTATTGTGAATAATGTTGTAATGAATACATGAGTGCAAAATGCCTTTTTAGGGTCTGGATTTGGGTTCTTTTGGATAAACAGCCCCAGGTGATTGTTGGATTTTTATTTTTTGAGGAGCCTCCATACTGTTTTCCACAGCAACTGCATCATTCTATATTCCTACCAACAGTATGCCAAAGCTCCAGTTTCTCCATGTCTCCACATGTGCTCATTCCTTTTACTTTTGTTTTGTTTCTCATAATGCCATTCCAGCAGAGGGGAGTAATCATTATCTCCTTGTGGTGTTGCTTTCCATTCCCCCATGCTTAGTGACATTGAGCATCCTTTCCTATGTCTGTGGGCCATTGGTACATCTGCTTTGGAGAAATGTCTGTTGCTGGCCTTTGTAAGGACAGGACCTGTCTGTTTTGTCACTGTTGTATTCTAAGCACCTAGAACTGCCTGGCAAATAGTAGGTACCCCATAAGGATTAACTGAATGAGCAAGTGAATAAATTTGAGAACATTTCCTTAACATTGCTGCTAGAAGATCTCTTGAATTCTTCTTTGAATGGGAGTATTGCCAGTCTGGCTTTGTGGGCAGCTTCTGCTTCTACAGGTTCAGATTCCGTTCTTCAGTTTTCCTCCTCACCGCACCACCCAGCTCTTCCAATTACTTATTCATAAAAACTTGGCACATTTTTATATATGTGTAATGTCTATGTGTGCATATAAATGTATCTGTGTATATTTATGTTGCATATATACATGCACACACACACTTATAAAATCTTACTGAAACTCAACATCTTTACTGACCCATAGAAATAATTACTATTTCCTTTCCTTCTCTGTTAGCTCCTCTGTGTTTCCAGTTTCCTCCCATTTCCTTGGAAAGCCTCCATAACCTCATCAAAACATATGAAGGTGTTTCTTACATAGCTTTCAAAATTAGTATGATGCAATTTTTTTTTGGTGGTATTACTGGGGCCTGAATTCAGGGCCTCATGCTTGTTAGGCAGGTGATCTACCACTTGAGCCACTCCGCCAGCCTAGTATTGCGTTTTGAACTCAGGGTCTTGCACTTACTAGGCAGGCACTCTATCTCTTAAGCCATGTCCCCAACCCTTTTTTGCTTTAGTTGCTTTTCAGGTAGGGTCTCGAGTTTTTGCTCAGGGCCAGCCTTGGCCTATGATTCCCCCTCCCTATACCTCCATGTATCCTTGACCACAGATGCCTACCACCACATCTGGCTTATTGATTGAGATGGGATCTCACTAACTTTTTGCCCGGGCTGGTCTCAAACTGTGATCCTCTCAATCTCCACCACACAAGTAGCTAGGATTACAAGCATGAGCTACTACGCCTGGCTGCAATTTAACAAAAAAAAAAAAAAGAATTCCTTTTTAGAGTAGTTTTAGGTTCAGAACAAAATTGGACAGAAAGTTCAGAACATCCCCACATTCTTCTCCCCACTCCTAACCTCCCACCACCACCACCATCCCACAACAGATGTTACATTTGTTATCCTTGATGAGCTAGCATTGACTAGCATAATTGTCACAGTCCTTAGTCAACATCGGAGTTCTCTGTTGGTGTTGCATAGTCTATGGGTTTGGGCAAGTGGATAATGATGTGTGTCCACCGTTATAGCATCATACAGAGTAGTTTCTTCACTGCCCTAAAATAATCCTCCCTGTGCCACTTGTTTATCTCTTCTTCCTCCCTTACCTAGCAACTACTCATCTTTTTCCTCTTTCCATAGTTTACCTTTTCCATAATATCATATGTGTGGAATCACACAGTATGTAGCCTTTTCAGATTGGCTTCTTTCACTTAATAATAATGTGATACAATTTTGAGAGTCTTGGTTCTTTAAATGTTGGTATTTTTCCTTTATCTTTGATTAAGGATGCCCACTAGTGAATGAGGAATGGGTACGTTCTGAGTTTCAAGGGCAGAAATATGAACTGGATAAGTAGCTAAATAGTGAACTAGTCACTTAACTCTTGGTGCTCATCAGTGAATTAAGTGTGTGTATTTCCTTCCTGTCTCCACCCTTCTTTTTAAGCTTGCCATGAAGTAGACGATTCATCTGTGGTTGGATTAAAGTATTTGCTTCTTGGTGCCATACACAAATGTCTAGGAAACACAGAAGATGCTCTTCAGGTAAACTGTCAATGTTGTCTGAACTGAAGAAAGCAATTCATGACTACCTGTGTCCACGCTTGTGCACGATTAAATGAAAAAGCATTAAAAGAAACCAAAACCCCCACTACAATGTGAACTTCATCCACTTGATTTAATTAATGTCATCTTTTCAGAGGCTGGAAGTTGATAATGGCTAATGTGTGGTTTTTAAAGTCTTAGAATACTTCTTTATGTACAGGCTTCTGTTTTGGCATTAGCTGTTTATCAAAGATGACAGTCTCAACTGGGGAGAGGAGGAAGTAAGGAGGGAGAAGGAACAGAATGAAGCCTCACAGATAGACACAAAGGTGATCAGATGTGTCTGTGTGTTCACCTTCCCTCTCTTTCTAGCGACAGGTTACTGATACAGGACTGGAGGAGAAGTCAGGAGAGTTGTTGACTTAGGCTAGTGTGTTAGGCAGCTATTTAGCACTTTGACAAAATACCTGCGAAAACAACTTAGAAGGAGGAGAGGTTTATTTTGACTCACAGTTTCAGAGGTTTCAGTAATAGTTGACTGGCTCCAGGGCTTTTAGGCAGTGGTGGGGCAGAGTGTCATGGCAGAGAAGGCAGGAAAAGCAGAGGTGCTCACCTCATGGTGGCCAGGAAGCAGAGTTGGATGGAGAGGGAGAGAGAGAGAGAGAGAGAGAGAGGGCCAGGGACAAGATGTACCCTTCAAAGACAACCAAGCCCACCTCCTAACAGCCCATTCAGTTCTGAACTTACTGTGGACAGATCAACTGAGCTTAGCACCCTCATGATGCAGTCCTCTCCCAATAGCCCCCCAAGCCGGAGACCAAGCCTTCAATATGAGCCTTTGGGGCCATTTTACAGACAAACTGTAACAGCTAGCACATGTACAAACTATATGCAAAAGAATCATTAAGTACTTTCCAATATACTTGGAGACATTTTTTAATCCCAATATTTTTTTGTTTGTTTGTTTCGTTAACTTTCTTCTTTGTTGCTGTTTTGGTGCTGGTGACAAACTCAGGGCCTCACACATGCTAGGCAAACAGTCTACCACTGAGTTATACCCCAGCCTGGCTAGGTTTTTAAGAGGTATATCCCAGCATTACTTTGGTTACTTTTAAAGCAGTTCATATAATAGGAGATTTGGCTTTTAAATTCTAGAATGTTAATATATTTGTATTGAAATCTTTCTTTTAAAGCTTGGGGTTATCATAGTTATTACATAGTTCTAAGTAGCCTATTGTAGATAACATGCTTAGGTATAGTTAAGACAGCAAAAAACAGGACAAGAGATGTTCTCGGCTTGTGAATTTTCTTTTTTTTCTTCTTTTGGCAGTACAGGGGATTGAACCCAGGGTATTTTGCATGCTAGGCAAGCACTCTGTTATTTGAGCCACACCCCTAACCCTTTTATTTATATTTTGTTTTTGAGATAGTGTCTTGCTGACTTTCCCTCAGCTAACCTGAAACTCACTATCCTCCTGACTCTCCCTCCTGAGTAGCTGAGACTATAGACATGTGCCACCACACCTGACTTACGGCTTGTATGTTTTCTATTTTAAATATTAAAATGGGATTGTTTAGATTTTCAAGTTCAGATGAAGCTATTTTTGAGCAATTAGATCGGTAGGTTGGTGTTTCAGCTGAGAAAATAAGTTGTAGAAGTTGGGCTGACTGCTGGATAACATATTCTGGAGGAACCGCCCCAGGCAGGTGTGTGTTCAGAACTTATAAGATGTGGATGGGGCGGTATGGGAAGAGATGAAGATGAGAAAAGAAGAGAAAATTGGATCTAGAAAACAAAAAGAAAATTTGTCTCCTTTCTGCCTCCTGAAGATTTTGATGAACCTCAATTCATGTAGGAAAATGAACTCATCCCAGTAACATTTGTATTACTTTCAGTTCTTTCAGCGAGCCGCTAAAGATGAGTTATGTCGTCAGAATAACTTGTACGTGCAGCCATACGCTTGCTATGAACTTGGCTGTCTTCTATTAGACAAACCCGAGGTGAGATCTTGTACAAATACACAATATTTTAAAATAATGTTCATCAGCAGAAACGTACACATGGTAGGCAGAAAGCATCCTTCACTTAAAATAAATTTGGTTGGACTCAAATTTATTTTAAATAAAAAAAATTTGCTTGGGCTCATGTAGGAGAGTCCAGGAAGATTGTGACCCCGTCTTACTGTCTTACTGTCGTCATGTCTTCTCTGGAGTTGGAATGGCAAGGGCAGCTTTTCAGACAGATTCACTTCAGGAAAAATTGCCTTTTGGGGATTGGGATGATATGGTGTGGTCTATCTGTATTGAGAAAAAGAAAATGGTGTTAGGATTCTAGCTCTGCCACTGGTTAAGTCACTTATCCACAAAAATTCTTTATCTGAATCAGAGTTAAAAACAAACAAACAAACAAACAAAACCTGCCTTGCCAATTTAATGAAGATTGTAGTGAGAATAAGTGGAGATGATCTGTATCATTATTTAAAAATTTTTAGGCTATCATACAAGTGGAAGGTGACAGTTACTGTTAAGATGTGTATTGAAATTAGTGCCATGGCTAGTGTGGGTGGCGGGGGGTTGTTTTTTAATGGGATTCAATAATTCCTAAATTTGCTTGATACCTCTTTTAAGAAACTCAGTTACATGAGCTTCACATGGTAGCTGAATAAAATTCAAAGTCTTAGGAAATTCAGCTGAACTTTTAAATATATGGGCTTTCTGAACCTTTAGTTAAGTCAGTAGGAGCACAACTCTAACCTTAGACATGTAGTCTGTCTTGCCAAAGATGAAATTTTAATGGGAAGGTCTTTTAATTTGAAGGTCTAATTTTATAAAAACAGAAAACACAATTTGTATAAATTTGGATGGAAACTTCTAACACTTTATTCATTATTTTAAGGAAAATTTTATTTTTTCATGTAGTCTTAATATAAATGTACATAAACTATAACAAGATAGATCTATTTTTGAGAAATGAAGTTGATATCTTTACTTAGCAATGACTTTGAAAGGAGATAAAACTTTTTGATTATCATTAATTTTAGGTATTTAGTAAGATTTTGATCTATGGCTTCATACCTTAATTGTCCCCTTTTATAGACTAGTAGTGAAGACTATAAAAAATTATTTATCAAGTAGCACCTTGATGTAAACTAATAAATACCTTTATATTAAAGAAAAATTGCATCATTACACTTGAAGGAGTTAACTCCCCTCTATGTCTACCAGGGATTGTTTCATTTAACATGTCCTCCTTTGACAATATTTTCTAGTTAAGCATATGTGAATATAGATATTAAGAGATAATATGTTTTTCTTATATTCATAGACTGTAGGAAGAGGCAGAACTTTACTTCTTCAAGCAAAGGTAAAACTCCTGAGTCTACCTCTTCCCCATGGCCCTTCTTAACCCATCCACTGCTCACCTGACTCTGACTTCAAGAAAGTGTGTGATGTGGTGTGGTGTTTTGGTTGTTAACAATTCTGGAAAGGAGGAGAATCAGTCAGCAGTCAGCAATTGATTTTTAAGTGGAATTTCTAAGATCATGAGAAATTCCTATAAAATCATTCAGCTAGTTTATAAATGCTCTAGTTTCAGTGTTTGGGTAGAAAAATAAACTTTTTATTTTTTGAGATGAGATCTCACTGTGCTGCCCAGATTGGTCTAAAACTCCTAGCTCACCATGACCCTCCTTCCTCAGTCTCGAGTAGATGAACTACAAAATAGCATCCAATTTACCAGCTCCAGAAAAAATAATTTAATTTCAAAACTATGTTCTTGAGTTAAGAATTCTACCATAATTTACTTTGAGTACAATTTAAGACTACTATTTCAAGAGTAACATGAGGAAGATTTTTGGAAGAGAACAGTATGAACCTTCAGTTTTCATTTTTTTTTGTTTGTTTTTTGAGACAGGGTCTCACTATGTATGTAGCCCAGGCTGACCTTGAATTTGCCATCCTCCTGCCTTCACTTCCCAAATGCTGGGATTACAATGTGCACTACCATGCCCAGCTATATTTTTTAAATAAAGTGAGGTTTAGGGAATGAGAAAAGGAAGCCTTCACTTCGAGTGCAGGCGATTTTACTGTGAGGAGTATGAACTGTGAACTCTAGGGTGCTTTATCCTGTGGTGTCCTATCCAAATGTAACTAACAGTCCACACCCTCTTTCTCTGGTCTTTCAGGAGGATTTCTCTGGCTATGACTTTGAAAACAGATTGCATGTCCGCATCCATGCTGCTCTGGCCTCTTTGAGGGAATTGGTTCCTCAGTGACGGGCCTGGGAGTGGCCCCTCTGTCCCTCCCCTCCCAGGGTCTGCACTTTGAAACAAAAGCAGAGGACAAAGCTGTTGGGAAGATCGGCTTTTCTTCTGGAAACCACCTGTGCCAGGGACACATCTCCCAGTGAAGCTGACAAATGGAAATCTCCTCTTTTAAACTTGTAGCTAAAGCATAATAATGATGATAACGACTGTAATAGCTAACCACCTGGGGAGAGGTTAAGTGACCTTGTTCATTTTTGTTTTGTGATTTATTCTTTTTAAAATAAAATCAAACTAAATATTCATCCTGTGATCCTGTAGGAACGCCGACCTTAAGCACAGATCCAAATGGGTAACATGAAGACATACCTGTACAGTGATTAACAATATCAGACCATAGCATTTATATTGTGTTTTGAAAAAAAATAAAAACGCTTTCTATTGTTTTACTTTAGCCTCAAAATATTCCTATGAATAATGTATTACATTCATCTCTCCATTTTCTAGACAATGAAACTCAGGCACCAAAAGGCTAAATGATCTATTCCAGTTAATCATTTCTGTTATCAGTGTAGCAATGAATAGAGAATAGATCTTCTGACCATGGATGGAATATTATTTTATTGTTAAAAAAAAGATACATGTTAATAACCCAGAATTCCATGCTTTACTTATTAAAAGAACAAATGGTCTTCAGCTGAAGTTGTGTCATCAGAAATACTCATCCCCAAGTCTCTACAAACTGTTCATTCTGAAATCCAACCAAGAAGGAGCATAACTTTACAATCAAAAGTATAACTGTGTTTTTTGCTCATCTATTAGATAGAACGCCCCATCTACAGATTAGATAAAGAACACCTACATTTTAGGAGTTTTCCTTTGTGAAAATTATCTAATGACCAACTTTTGGAAATCTTTTAACAAATTACTTGAAAAGGATATTCTTAAATGAATGTAGGTTTGTGCCTCAAAATATTTGATAGTAAAGTATTTTCTCGGCTATTGCCAGGATTTAATCATTTCCCCCTTAGCTCAGGTTATTAGCTATTGTAAAAGGAGTTGAAAGTTACTTCTTTAATCCTTCATTGATAATTGTTATAGATATTTGATTTACCTCCATGCCCATTACTACACAGCTGTGGATTTGAATGATCTAAATACCTCAGTCACTTTGAAGAATCTTTGCCATAATTTGGTTCAATCTTTAGGTTAGTTTTTTGTTGTTGTTCTTTAATTGAGCTAAAGGGCGTCATTTTAGAGTTAGCCTATTGACTGAAGCATGATCTCATGCAATGTTCATATTTTAATATTTATAAAATAAAATGTGAGAAAAGCTGGAATGTTGGCAAATTTAATATGATTTAATCTTGTTGTGCGGGGTGGGGAGTATTTCTCAGTGGTATAGCACTTGCCTAGCATGTGCAAGGCCCTGAGTTTGATCCCCCCCAAAACACAAAGCATCTTAATATCTTAATCTTAATTTGAGGAAATGATTATTTTTTTTGCATACTGGAAGGCTTTTGAACTAGGACCTACACCTTGAGCCACTCCACCAGCCCAAATTTTTTGTGATAGGATTTTTCGAGATAGGGTCTTGCGAACTATTTCCCCGGGCTGGCTTCGAACCATGATCCTCCTGGTCTCTGCCTCCTGAGTAGCTAGAATACAGGCATGAGCCACTGGCACCCAGCAATGATTTTTTTGAAATCAAAACTGACTTTGGCTAATCTATCTTGATGTCTCCTCATCTCTGTTACTGACTGCTTTTGAGTGGACTCTTTCCAAAGCCAGTGTTTATCCTCATAGGCTGCATGATGCAAATTTTGTAGGATTTTACAGACTCACAAAAGAGAAAAGACTGGTACCATACATTCAGAAGCCAAGAAGAGAAAATTTTTCTGAAGAAAATAGTGTGCAAAAATATTGGAATCCTGATGACTGAAGGGAAGAACAGTATGAATCCTTAAAACATGGCTATTAACATTTTCTTCTATAATAGGTGTGGCACACTTTAATGTGTGGACCTTCTGAATCATGAAGTTCTTGCTTCAGTCATTCTTACTTGAATTTTCAGTTTAAATATCTTTCAAACTACTTATTCCATGTTCAAAGATTATGCAGAATCTTGGGTTTTAAATTTTAAAAAAATTGTGCACTAGTTGCTTTAACAATTGTTTTTATTTCTCCATAAAGATTTCAGGATTTCAAATAAGTATGTATTTGGCTTTTATTTAACCAGATAGATTTGCAAGACCATCCTGTAGGTTTTCTTTGCTAGTAAAAGTGTAGCTCTATCTAAAAACAGCCTTTTCCATCCTTAGTTCAGAAAACCCCTGTGGCACATCTGAGTTGACATGGCAGTAGACCATGAGAGTAAGCAGGTGGAGATTCTAGACACTGTAACATAGCTAAACCACAGTGTGCATACTCTGTGCCGTCAGGCTGACTGAAATCTGGGTACACTTAGTTGAGTAATTCATAGCAATTATCTGGCCTGCGTGCTTTGACTCGCCCACCTGTGAACTGACTGTGATCTGCTGACAACTTGGTTTGGTGTAAACTGCTCTTTTCCCTGCAGCTGAAGAAAATAATGACTTAAGTAGAACTGTTTGCATCCATGTGTGCTTTTTTATGCTGTCATCACTCTTTCCCCTTTCCTGTTTTGGAGGCTCTCAAATTGATCTTCTAGTTTATAAATGTCAAATATATTTTTGTATTAGATTGTGCTTATGATGAGAAAACTCTCTAATGTATATTTTATGTATGCTGAACACATTTTTTATAATTTGGCAGACTTGCAGGCATGGTCTAATAATTATTATGTAATGTATACCTTGCTGGTTAATATAAGATTTTACCTTTATTGGGTTAGTTATCTTTTTTATTTTAGTGCATGACAGCTAAGTCTTCCACTGAGTAAAGAATTACAACTTTCAGGTGCAGAGAAAAGTAGAATATTTATTATCATGATTGTGTAAGTCAATTATTTATTGAATTTGCATTTTTATATTTCTGCCAGTGCATATCTGGGTTTTTTTTTTTAAACACACACACAGGCACTTTGTTGTATAAACTTTTCAAATTGATTTTTTTAGGCAACTTGTGGTGGCAAGTATTCAAATATGGCTTTATATTTACAAAGACATACATTCATGCCATCACGATGTACTGTTTTGGTTTCCATGAGTGATGTATTTTTGTAGAAAGAGACTCATTGAACAAATCATCATAAGAAAATATGTAGGAGAGGCAGATGATGTAGAAACTAGAAAGAGGAAATGCAGAATGAAAAGGACAATAGGAGCAAGAAAGTACGTTGGTTCATAGCAGGTGTGGCTTCTCTTCCATCAGATGAGCAATAGTTGCCAAGAGCACAGTGTAACTGGCTTTCTTGTGAAAACCAGGAAGAGGTTGAGCTCTGTCTCCTTGTGGTAGCATTACATTGCTCTTCCCACAGGCCAGAGGATGTCAATTTTCATGTTTTGCAGATTAGCCCTCTTCTTAGAAGCTGATGATGCAGCAGGTTCTAGGTAAGACCTGGGAAGGCATCTTTAACGCTCCTGGGATGATTCCAGTGCAGGTGGTCTGGGTTGGAGAACAAATGTTCTAGATGTCATCTTTTGTTATATACTTAGTAAATCTAGAAGAAGTGTCTAACAAGACCAGAATCACATAGCAAGGATAAGCTCCCTTATATAGTGTGCTTTAAAGGATAAGAAGGTTGCAATCAGCTGAACATGATGGTTGGAGGTGACTCCGGTTTTGGTCCTGATCCAAAAGCATAGGTGTATGTGTTCAAGAGCCCAGAATTAAGTATGAGCAAGATGGTGAGAAAAGAGGCATAGTCCTCACCAAGAATTTTGTGCTGCTGTAGGGTAAGGACTTTGGATGTGGGGAGGGGAAGTAGAAAACAAGGTAGATCTGCATTTTAGATGAAAAGGACAAGATTGTGAAGGCCCATCAAATCATTAGGCCAAGAAATCAAAGCAGTAAATGGGCAATGGTTTGAAAATTGTTAAATGTTTTTAATTGTAACAATTTGAATTTCAGAGTGACTGAAATAGAACAGACCTTGAAAAAGTGAAAAAAGTAAAGGCCTCCCTTCTGAGTTCCAGCTATTTCCATAGTACTTAACTCTTAATAGGTGTTCAGGGTGACCTACCAAGGTTAGGCTACACAACCATGAATGGGATCTGTAATATTTGTGCTTAGGGTTTCAGCAGCTCAGTTCATTACACCTTGACAGTTAAAAATGATGAGCCAAACCATCAGAAATCATGTGAGCTCATCATTTATTTACACTACCACAGTGGGTTGGAGGCAAATGATGAAAAACTTCACCATCTGCAGACCTATTAAGGGGAATTTCTCCCTTTTAAATGTACAATCTTCACAAGAAAAAGTTTATTTGGCACGTACATGGATAATTATTAAATTAATGAATAAATTGCCCCAGAAAATGCTATCTGTAGCCTGGATGTAGACAGAAGTTTTAACATTGCCTTTTATTACAAAGTGCTCTGGAAGCCTTCATTTTTCCTGAAATTAAGATAAGGATTGTCAGGTATACCTTGATGTTATTATTTAACTGTTGATTTTGCGGCGGTTTTTGTTGCTTTTTAAACTTTTAAGGATGGATTACAATGAAAGCTGCTGGGAATCCGATAAATCATTACCGTGTGCCCAGCAAAAATATGGCCTGATGGGTGAAAGAGCAGAGTGGGTATTTTTAAATGGGGCAACACTAATTTGGTAATCTGAGCTGACGTTACTGCTATAATTATGGAGAAACAAGTTTTAGGACTAACGCCAAACTCATTCCACAGCGAGTTTTTCTCCAGAGGAAAAGTGCTGTTGCATACAATTACTCAATTACTCGCTCTTTTTTTTTTTTTTAACCAGTTCTTGTGTGTATCCCGGGACAGAAATCATTCTTCGAAAAGGTGACCAAGATAGTAATTTTTAGAGGCAAGGAATCAGATATGGAAAAGAGAGGTGGCCAGGTAGAACTGCCATAAATATATTTCTCTTTTCTTCCAAACTAGCTCTTATTTTAGATCTAGCGACCAAAGATGGAGAAGCAGTGGCCTGGACCTGCTCCTGACGGTTTGGAAACGCTACTTTTCCCACGCGCGATGTATCCTCTCGCAAAAGGCGAAGCAAGGGTCCCTCGCCCTCCCGAGTTCCGGCTTTTGCCCCTTTCAGCTCCCCATTGGCTGGGGTCGCCGTGGCCCCGCCCTACCCGCAGCGGTCGGGGCCTCCCACGAGGGGCGGAACTTTGTGACGTACACCGTGACGCCTCCAAGGGTATAAATAAGCCCTCCGGCAGGCCTGTCTCACAGGAGCCGCCGGCGAGGGGGCAACGAGGAAGCTCTGTTCTAGCGTAGCCGGAGAGCAAAAGGTGGGGCGAGGCTGGGGAAAAGGCCCGGCCTGCGCCCCAGAGGCAGTTAGTCCCACCCAGCGTTTCGCGCGCTGGGAGAAGGGAGAAGTGGACCGAGCTGCAGGAGTCCCTCCGGGTGGGAGGCCTGTGCGAGGAGCCGAGACGGGACGGCCGCATCCCGGTGTGGCCAAGCTCGGGGTCTTGGCGTCGCCGCCGCCTTCCTCCTCAAGTGGACGCGCCGGGCCCCCGTGTTTCACTATCACCTCCCCCAAACATAACCAAAGAGCGAAGCAAGCACACACCCGAGGGAGCCCCCAGACCCCGCCGAGGTGGAGGGCGAGGGCGTGGTGCGCGCGTTGGCGGGCGTTTGACTGTCCCTTGCTCCAGGCGTTAGCTCGCCGACGGTAGTGGGTAAATGGCGTTGACAGCCGGGTTTTTTTTGTTCGCCTTTGACAAGTGTCCGTGAGAGGAGACAGCCACTAAGCCGTGACTGTTAACGCAGCCCTCCATATCGGCATTTGTGGCAGTATTTAACAGCTGGTGTGACTGCGCTTGGAGCGCACGGGACAGTTCTTTGTAGAGGACAGCCATGTAGGATGTTCAGCATCCCTGGTTCCCACGTGTTTGCAGATGAGAATGGGGACGGTGAGAACTGGCAAGGTGGTGGGGGTGGGGTGTCGGGGACTTCACGGCTCTTAGAAGAGTTGGTGGCACTGCTAATTGCCTACAGAAAGGGTACTTTATTAGGCCATTCTGCCTACTAGTAGCCGCTTTTAAAACAACCCATCTACTCACACTAGAATACTTCAAATATATATAAAAATATAACCTTAACATATGTATGTACTGATACATATATGGATATCTATGTATTCATACATATATTTTCACTGCCTGTGTCCTTTAGCATTTAGCACGTGGGCTTGCCAAAACTGCATTACTTTTTTTTTTTAAGATAGTGAAACTACAGATTAATGCGCTACACTAATAGTGCGTTTTCATTAAGGAATTCAGTGCACTTAATTATACCTCAGAGGGTTTGCTTTGGCCTATACAGATTCACTTTGTCATAGCCTTTGGGAAGTTGGAATGTATTTTTAAATATTCAGGATTTTGCTATGACATATTAGTTGCTTTTTATTAGAAGTTGGTCCTTGGTATAATTGCTGTAACTAAATTGTGTCACTCAGCCCCATGAAACTCGTTACTACTGTAGGGACATGTTAAGGGTATGGTTCATTATGTCACAGTATGGTCTTTACAAGGACCCTTGGGAGAAATTTCTCGTGGGTCTCAGTGTCCAGAATAGCTGTGATTTTCCCCAAAGCAACTGGTTTGTTGTTTTTACCTCAACAAGCCTGAATCATTTAACCACCAGTTTCCTGTTTTGTGATGGCTGCTTGGTACCTCAGTAACGGATTTGCTACCCACTCTTATCAAAGTGAAGGACATATTGTTTACATTGGGATGCTAACCTCACCTGTAGCTTCATCCTGGTTTTCCTGTCATAATTTTCTCTTAATATTGTGTATTTACAATGAATCATGTATCAGTACACACACACATACACAAACATACTGTTTAGGATTGAAAACCTTTGCACCTCTGAGAACTTCAGGCTAGACTAGTTAATACTCCTGATACCAATTAAACGCCAGAAAGCAGGAGGAGGGGGAGATGGGAAAATGAGGGCAGAAGGAAAAGGAGGATATGAGAAAAAGACGTGCATGTGATGGTGGGTGGCAATAATACTGCAGATAACTTACTCTGATGTTAACAATAAAATGAATATGAAGCAAAAAGTGCATAAAAATGAGCATTGTGATTGGGAATATATATTGAAACACTAAACAGATAAGTTCCTGCCTGTATGGACTGTTGTTTGGAAATGGGTGTATCATGAGTTTATCTTTCATAAAATGTTACTTTACAAAGTATTCACTGGATTTTAAAGAAGCAGGTTTTGTTTTTAGTATCATCCTGGGAGTGTCCTGGCAGAACCCAATAAATTTCTTTTAATAGTACTGTATAGATCATCTGCACATAAGAAGTGATTCATAGTAGGTTTTTAGGTCTTGTTTTACTATCAAGAATTATTCCATTTTATTGGAATGAATACCTAGAGATTAAATTTAACCTAATAGTTTTAATAGGCGATAGATTTGGTTTTGGAAAAGTTAACTTGTAAGAAATACTTTAATGGAATACTAATATATTATGTGTAAGACATTATTTTTCTTCATTATAGTTAAAATTACAGACATCCTGCCAAAATGATTTCTTCAAAGCCCAGACTTGTCGTACCTTATGGCCTCAAGACTCTGCTAGAGGGAGTTAGCAGAGCCATTCTCAAAACCAACCCAACAAACATCACTCAGTTTGCAGCAGTTTACTTTAAAGAACTTATTATGTTTAGAGAAGGTTTGTTATTCTTTTACATATTTGCTTTGAAAAAGAATTTTAAATTGGGAATTTTATGTATCTGATTTCCTGTATTTATTGCTTCAGGAAATAGTTCTCTGGATATAAGAGATCTGGTTAAACAATTTCATCAAATTAAAGGTAAGTCCCCACCCAAGTGGTGGTAGTTTCATTAAAGTTGGCTGTAAGTTATGAAATAATTGCTAGCCTACATTCACCAAGAATGATGTTTACTTGGGAGGGAGAGGTAGGAGGATCATGGTTCAACGCCAGCCCCAGCCAAAAAAATAAAAATGTTAGCAAGACCCTGTTTCAAAGAACAAGCCAGGCATGATGGTACGTGTTTTGCAATCCCAGCAAGGTAGAAGGCTTAGGTAGGAGAATTGTGGACTGGGATTGGCCAGGAAAAAAATCCAAGACCTTATCTGAAAAATAACTAAAGCAAAAAGGTCTGGGAATGTGGCTTAAATGGTAGACTCTTCCCTAGCAAGCTTAAGGCCTTGCCACTCAAAAACCCCATAACTCCCAAAAAAGTGATGCCAAGTGATATTTTCTCTTTAAATTACACTACTGTTTTAGGTATCAAAAATCACACTGGTGCTTCATTTTTATTAAATCAGTTTTTTTTTAAATCCAGGGACTGATGTTTTGGAGGGATCTATATCTTCAAAGAAGGCAAAACATCTTTTGCAAACCACTTGACCCAATGAAAGTACATGAATGCCTAGAAGCCAATAACAGAACAGTGTGTATAAACTATGACTCAGACCCCTTCCAATATGCCTAAAAATTAGGGATGTATGGTCAATTTCAACAAAATTGCATTTCATAGTAATGAAGACTTAAATTACAGTGAGATATTTTAGTTAGTATAGGCATCCCGAATCTGAAACTCTGAAATCCAAAATGAGCAACACTCAGAAAGTTTCATATTTCAGAACATTTCAAATTTCAGATTTTCAGATTAAAGATAGTCAATGAATAAAGTCTATACAAATATTCCAAAATCCAAAAGACTCTGAAATCTGAAACCCGTAAGGTTTCAGGCATTTCAGGTATGGGATATTCAACTTGTATACACACTCTTCTTGAAATACCTTTTTAAAGAGGTTAACCACCTCATCTCCCCAACCCTAATGGTTACCTGCAGTCCAATCTGAAGATCATACTTTCTTCTGACCATACTTTCTGCTGCAAGAGTATGTATGACTAGATAAGTTTCTTACAGAACAGTGGTCTCTTCTTACATATCTTGGACACTATGACATAATGGCATATATTTGCTTAGGAGAAAGTTGTGTTTTGTGTGTATATGTGTAAATGCTTATCTTCTGTGAACGTGACAACATGAAACTGAGTTGATAGAGGAGCAATGAAAAAGTCAAAGGAGGAGAGATTAGACAAGGCAAAGTTCAGATAAAAAATATGAGATGATTATAAACAAGAGGATTTAATGGTCAAATCCCAAAGACAGGTGTATGCATCTAGAAGAATGACAAGAAAAAGCTTTTCACAGAATTTTGTGAAGAGGTAAAATGGAGACTTCTGGCCAGTGTGGGAAATCATGAAATAGTTTTTACTATATTGGTTGACCAATATTTTGGAATGATTGTGGAGAAAGAAAAGGTAAGATCTGGTGAGCCGTCTACCATTTTCATAGTGTTAATAGATAACCTACCTATAGTATGAAGAAATTAGGAGTAAGATTGAAGAAAATGTAAAAGTCATGAGGGTATGGCTCTTCGTGAACAAGGCACCCAATAGAGAAAGCAAAATTAAGAAAAGCAAAACTCAGCATTTGAGAGGATAGAGAACTGAGGCACCCTGGTTCAGGAATATTTTATTGTCTAGTTTGCCTGCTTCCTTCTAACAGGTCTTGGACTTGCTTACCACCAGTAGCACATACAGACCAGTGCAAGAACATCCTTCCCAAATCATGAGCCTGGTTTCCCAGGCAGTCAAGGTTATTATCTTAGTATTTTTGTGTCTTCTAAACCTGGAGCCATATTTGAAATGTGCAGGCTTGCTGTGATTGAGAATGGTGAGAAAGTCAGTGGAGGTGAGAAAGTGGTGGAGGTAACTATATAGTAGCTTTTGAGTTTGTTACTGAAGAATGTATCCACCATTTAATTTAGCAAGTAGACTTAAACAAATGTGGATTTTGGTCTAGGGATGTTAATACCTAAATCTCAGACTGAAAATGAACAGACATAAAAATTTATGGGCATCCATAGTTTTGATTCAAACAGGACATATGGCTGCTTTTCAGATAATTAAAGGTATAGAGGACATGGACAGTATACAGATTATCTGAAAGCAAGCTCATGGTATGGTTGTATAAACAGATTGCTCCTTAGGCAGTAGAATAGAAATGAACACTGCCTGATCTTGTTTATTGGGGAGATACAGATAACATGAAGGTATGACCAAGATGCAGACAGTTCATCATTACTGTCTAATATCAATTTGGCTCATTTGTCTTTTATAGCCATTCTAAGTGGTTTCTAACTGGACAAACAATATCTGTTAACTTAGGCCCTATCATAGAGACTGCATAAGTCCACCTATATCCAGGAAAAGTATTACTCTGTGCTAAAGAAGGAACTATCTGGGGATATAAAGGCATAACAAGAGTCCCACTTGGTAGGGCATTTTCTCCCTTGAGTGACTTCTCATCTGATTGGTTTAATTCCCCAGTTGCTGTTCTTGTGGGAGTTCTGAGTAAATGTGGCTGCATGGTGGTTCAGTTTTCCACAGTAAAAATGTAGATATAACAGCTGGCATCTTCTCTTTCATCTAAGTAGAGCTTCCCTTATGTGGGTCTCAGTCTTCAATATGGAGGTGGTACCTATAATACCCTATATTCGGTCTATTGGTCTTAAGGATGGAGGAGGTTCTCCCAGGCTTTCAATGACTTGCGAGTTGTGTAAATGAGCCATTCTTTGAAGACTGAGTCATCTGACCCTTGTGCTAGCCTTTGTCTTTTCAGTGTGAGGCAAGGTCATTCTAAAGACAGTACCACGTATTAGAAGCTGGTGATGGGCAAGTACTGACTGACATCCCCTAGGGCACTGGTGCCTATCCATCTCCCAGACAGCAGATATAGCATATGTTTCATAAGAATGCTCAGTGGTCCAGGGACATTGTGCTCTCCCACCTTATTCCCACCACTTTTTTACTACTCAGGAGCATTACTACATGCTCCCTGTACGTATGGAGATAAGAACATGCCTAACACACATCATTTGTTTTAGTTGAATTTACTTTCTTTCTGAGATCTGTCCTAGAAAGAATACCATTTTTGCTAGGCCTCTTCTTGGGATGTGAAATGTTTACTCATCTCCCCAGTGTCTTCAAAATTTCATGCACACTTAGGGTATGGAGGAGGGAAGAAAAAAAAGAACTGGACATGAGAGTAAACTTGTCACTTCTGTCATCTTGTTCTTTCCTTGCATTTTCTGGAACTGTCTTTATGGTGGTGCCTGGCTCTATCCAGGGCCATCATTGTGCCATCCCCCAACACATGCCTATTTCCAAAGCAGCTGTACAGGTTGATTACATAGGTCCTTCATTTCTCAGTCTTCTAAGAAGAATTCCTTCATCAATCTAAATCATTAAAATCAGATCTAAAGCTTGGGTGATATTTTAAGCAAAAGAGTCTATCTCTTAAGTCCCACTACTTCCTATAGGCTAGGAAAAGAAAGAAGGAAGGAATGTCATTAATAGTTACGGAGTAACTTTTGGTTTAGACACATATTTTGTCAGTTCGGACAACTTCATAAGGTAGGTGACATCATTACATCTTAAGAGAAATCTGAGACTTGGGAATGATTAATAACTTCTAAATTTCTAAATATTAAATTGATAGAATCTGAACTTAGATCTTCCTGGTAGCACAGCTTCTGTCCTTTCCACTAGAGTAATATTCTAGGATCCTTCTGGAAGAACATTAGATTCTTCACCTTGATTGAAAAGTGACTGGAAAGGAATTTGAGTTCTTTTCCCTACAATAGTCTTCCATTTTTTACTTCTTTCTCCCTTGTCACCGTATTGTGTGGAACTTGAAGTTACTAATTCTGATCTCTTTCACCACTTGGTGAAGAGGACTGGTTTCTCCTTCAGAGTGGCAAGTGATAATTCACCACCACTTACCACCTCTGATCCTCCAAAGCCTAATTACATTCAGTTTCCACTTTCACCTTTCAACAGAGGTGGGGAAAGAGGTAGCAACCTCTTTTGAAGAATCAAGAAGACCAAGTCCTGGGTCTGGGGGTATAGCTCAGTTGTACAGCACATGCTCTACAGGAGGCCCTGGGTGCCATCCCCAGCACCTACACCCCCCCCCAAAAAAAGAGAAATCTGTCTAGATCCCCAAATGAGTTACCCTTTTAACTTTTTTTTAACTGATCCTAGATATTCTTGGATTTTGGGCTTGGGCGTATGCTGCTAATCATTGGCCCAATTTCAATTCCAAGTATTTTGAATTACTCATTTTTAATGTTCATAGTAATTACTGAGTTCATTGTACACAAATTCTATTGTTAATGCTGTATTTTTATAGTTGATTATACATATTGTCCATTCATATTTAAACAAATAAGGAATGTATTTTAGGCTGTCTACACTAAAGTTTATGAGGTTCTGGCACCTTTCCTGCATCTTTTCAATCGTTTATGTTCACTTATTTCTAAGGAACTGAACTGAAAGCCTTAAGTTGATAAGAACAGGAAAGTTTCATAATACACATTAAATCAGAGACACTGGAAAATAAAGCACAAATATATGTATTTTGGCATTTGAATACCCAACCAACCCTTGCTTTCTTTAAAGTACTTTGAGGAATATTTGCTGATTGATCTATCTGGCTATTCTTTTTAGTAGAGAAATGGTCAGAAGGAATGACACTGGAGGAGAAACGAGAAAGTGTAAAACCACCAGAAGGAACACCTGTAGTTTCCCAAGAACCTACACGGATGGAAAAATCCACAGACACTGAGGAAGACAATATAGCGAGACTACAATATAGCAACAAAACCACCCAGTTTCCATCAGTTCATGCTGAGCTCCCACAGTCTGAGGGGACAACTGAAGGAGTTCGGGGTCCTCCTTCCAAACCAATTACACCTAAAACTACCACCCCACCCGCATCACCACCTCCAGCACCTGTCTCAGCAGAGTTTGCCTATGTCCCAGCTGACCCAGCTCAGTTTGCTGCTCAGATGTTAGGTAATGTTCCATCTACTCATTCTGATCCATCTGACGTTTTAATGGTGGACGTGGCAACAAGTATGCCTGCTGTTATCAAGGCTGTGCTGAGCTCAGAGATTGCTGAAGAAGTTGGGGTGTCTGCACCTCTCGCGTATTCTGGAGTGGTGGTGGAAATGCAGGTTGTGAGCCAAACATCTGTGCAGGTAGATGTGGGTCCTAAACCTAACGAGCAAAAGGCTGAACCATCAACGGCTTCCTCAGCTCCCTTGCAGGGTGAACAACAACCTCCTGCTTATGATCAAGCTCCCGAGGCCCCTTTGCAGGATGATATGCAGGTTACATCAGCTGTACGTATATCATCTATATATAATGATGCGCCTGTCGCTGAAGGAGTTGTCTATGTCGAGCAGATACCAGGACACATAGTTATCCCTTTTACTGACCAAGTTGCTTGTCTTAAAGAAAATGAGCAGTCACCACCAATTAGTCCCGAACCTGTAGTATACAAAACGGCCTCAGACTCGTCTAAAAAATCTGTAGAGTCTGTAAAAATTGTACAGTTAGAGGGGAATGCAGAACACAAGTCCTCGGTACATTTGGAGGCAGAAGCTACAGTTCTGCTCTCCAACACCTCCTTAGGCGGTCAGCCCGAAGTATATGCAGAACCCCTGGATGCAGAGGGCTTTATCAATGTAGGCTCTGAAAAATCTCTGCACCTTGAAGTGGAGATCATTACCATAAACCCTGACAATACTGAGCAGGAGGAGTTGGGGGAGAACTCTGCACCCCAGGAGACAGAGGGCAAACCTGAAGCAGTGTACCTAGGGGGAGCTGAAAAGTCATCTAGTGGCCCCTTCCCTCCTGTGCCAGAAGGTCTCACTGAACCAGAAATTGAACCAGAAGGGGACGCAGCACCTGAACAGGTTTGATGAATCCAGGTAAGAAAATTAGATATGTACACAGATACACAGTTTTTCAGGTGACATCCATATTTCAGGAAACCATTTAGGTAGACTCCCTGAAGACTGGTCAGTCTGTGTTCAATAGTCTTTTAAATGCCAAGCTTATTTAAAGGCTGTGTTGTATTTGAGATTTCATTATGAGTGATTTTAACATGATGTCCTCAAAGTGTGATCATTAACACTTTTGTGTTATTTTGGACGTATGTTTTGAACAATATTGAGCCTGTTCTTAGATTTTAAAATGTCATGTAATACAAATACTCATATTGCAAAACTTAACTAGGGATGATGCTTTGAAATTTCTCGCTTGTGGATTGTAAAATTGAACTACAGCACTGTATTTACATGGGCCATGGCATTTAAAACATGAAAGAAATGGTGGTGTGTTTGACTGCTTTCGCACTGAGTCAGGAAAGCTCTGCAACAGGGGTTGGGGTTCAGGGTCAAACACTGAAATTGCCTGTGAACTTCCTGCAGCTGAGGGAGCAGCTTCATGGCTGGATGGAGAGAGGAAAGGTCAGGTTGAACTTCTGGCACACAGGAGAGCATGGAGATAGCAGCAGCAGGAAGAATGAATGGCCAGGCACTTAAGCAACAGTGGATGCAGTTTATATGATTGGCGTCCTATCAGTTCCTCTAGACAATACCAAATTCAAGCTGATTTCTTAGCTGCTGAACTCATGTTTTCCTGTGACACAGACATGAAATGACCTCTGTCTCAATCTAATTATGGCATTTGGTCTGCCCACCCCCCCATCCCATCTGGACACTTGCAGGGACCCTTCTCTCTTTAGATGTGGAAGGGGCATAAGTCAAGCCCCACCCCCATTCCTTTTGCAGAAACTCTTAACTCTGACTCAAACTAGGATAATACGGAAGTGTTACCAAAGCAGGTGTTTAGCAAAGATAAAATTCTGTCTGGCAGTGTGACTTTGGATTTGGCACAGGCTGAAAAGGCAGAGGGGCAGCACCAGAATGCAGCCTGTGGTGCTGTCATTATCCTTGTGGCAAAGCAGCACTTCAGACCAAGTCATTGTTTTCAGGTGCTTAACTGCTGCTGAAGTACACTAGGTCCTCATCACTAGAGGACAATTACCAAGAAAACTGAGATTTTCTAACTCTCATTTGAAAAGATTGAAGATCTGGCTATTTTTTAATACGCTTGAAAAAAGTTATCTAAAGCTATTGAAAACAAATCAGCTTAATCATGTGCATAGTGTTCTTTTCTGGGGAAGACAGACTACACCAGGGATAGATGGCCCAGTGTTCAAAAGATGAACTTAGCACATTTGGGCCGTGAGGTCCCATCTTCTGGGACTCAACTCTCCAAGATAGTACTGTATTCATTTGGCAAGTCACACTTGGTATTATAGGTTCCTTGGTGTAAGTCATAGATGGCACTCTTAGATCTTTCTGTTCTAAAAGGACCAACCAGCCCATCACTGCCACTTTGGGCCTATGATTTTAAGCCTTTCCTAAAAAGGGTGCTCTCAGGGTTCTGAGACCTAGATGAGGGGATACACTATATGTGTAGTGCGAGATGACGGTACCTGTGAAAGGCCAGGGATATTTGATTAAGTGATCAAAATTGTAGCTAGTACCTGACCTTTTTTTTTTTTTTTTTTCCTCCTTGCTTTTCTCCCTGGGCTAGCCTGAACCACAATCCTGTTTGCATTTCCCACTAGCAGGATGCACATCCAGGTTGGGATGGAGTCTGGCAAACTTTTTACCTGGACCCTCAAACTACAGTCCTCTGATCGCCACCGTCCTAAGTAGCTGGGATTATAGACATGAGCTGCTGGACCAGACAACCTGATTCTTTAAAGAAAAATGACTATGCAGATGTACTAACATATTTTTCAATGGCTTCACACACTCAAGTTAGATTTTTGGTAAAGCCAAAAGTTTTGTTAATGGTGTTGTTTTTGGAGCACCCTATAGAAGCCATGTCTAGAGTTTAAGAATCTGGAAACAGCAACTTAGAATGAGATTGCTCTTTCAGCCACAACTCTAATGTCCCTGCCGCTTGCTATCACAACACTGTTCTTCAACTGCATAAAATTGCTTTTCCACATTACCAGACACAATTTATCTAGCCCTCTCTATAGCATGCTTTATGGCACATATTACTATAGCTGTTTGTTTATATGTTGGAAAAAAAGATTTACAAACACATTATTGTGCATAGTGCCTGATACAGAGACCAAACTGTTAATGCCTGCAAATTTTTTTTTTTATAGCACTAGCAACAAGCGAAGCAGGACAACCACCACCATATTCTAACATGTGGACCCTTTATTGTCTTACTGATATGAATCAACAAAGTCGCCCATCACCGCCACCTGCACCTGGGCCTTTCCCCCAAGCAACCCTCTATTTATCTAATTCTAAGGATCCACAGTTTCTGCAGAATCCACCGAAAGTTACTTCTCCAACTTATGTGATGATGGACGACAGCAAGAAGACCAGTGCCCCACCTTTTATTTTAGTAGGCTCAAATGTTCAGGAAGCCCAGGATTGGAAACCTCTTCCTGGACATGCTGTTGTCTCCCAGTCAGATGCCTTGAAGAGATATGCTGCAGTACAAGTACCCATTGCTGTTCCTGCAGACCCCAAATTCCAGAAACATACCCTAAATTCCCAGAATGCTAGTCCTCCTACAAGTGGACAAGATGTCCCCAGACCACAAAGCCCAGTTTTTCTTTCCGTTGCGTTCCCAGTAGAAGATGTAGCTCTAAAGGGTTCAGGATCTGGTGACAAGCGCACTCCCTTTGGAAGTTATGGTATTGCTGGAGAGATCACTGTGACCTCTGCCCATGTCCGCAGAGCAGAAACTTAAAATGGTAGGTAAATCTTACCTACCGATATGTACCTAACACACTTGGAGTTTCAGCATTTTGATTTACTGACCTAGATATATTTTTAAAAACTGAATACAATGAGTTGGGGTAAAATTAATTTGATGTGGTTATTATCTCCAAACACCTAATTACTAAAAATGCTCAACTGATAAACCAAACAACCCAGTTGCCCTTGAATATGAGATAGACTAAAAGGGGATGGATTTTTTTTTTTTAAAGGGCAGGCTAATTGAGTTGTAAGTTTAAGAAATGGGGAGGAGATGATGAGAGCAGCGAACAACTGGAGAGCAAGGTGAGAGAGAAGTGCTCATTATATATGGAACGCTCAGGTTGGAAACAGATGAGCTAGAGACAGCCGACTGTACATAAAACAGTTTCAATTTTTCATTCAACTAGTACTTAATACCAAGCCCTGTGTGAGCCCCTCCTTCACAGTGTGTGGCTAGAGAAAGCTGAGGAGACAGCCAAAATTACCTTACAGTGTGCAAAGTATTAAGTGTGTAGGGATGGGGAACGTAGCTCAGTGATACATTACCTGTATCATGCACAAGGTCCTGGGTTTGAGTCTTAGCGTGCAAGAAAAAAAAAAGGTACTGATCCAGGCCCTTCTTCATAGTCACCTTTACAGTGCTCAGACTTGGATGTACTCTAACGGCTGAGTATGAGAAGGAGCTAGTCTCCTATGTCAATATGACTATTTTCCCCATGAAATGCTTCGGTATTTTAGTATAAAAGCATAGATAACTGATTAGTTAAGAGCTTAGTAACAGAATAGGAGGCTAGACCTTGCATTTCTGATCTTGCATTTATTTCACACATTCAGTTTCATGGTATTTAAATTCAATATTTGTTATTCCTAACAGATGATGAAAATGAGGCTGTTTTGAGTCAACATTCAAGGTGGAGTCTACCACCAAGCATAATATTTCAATAAACTTCCTGCAAGCATAAAACCTTGTACTCTTATTTTTATAATTTAGGAGGTAGAAAAAAACACCTTGACTCTGTCCAGAATTGTGAAGCAAGAGCATCTTCCAAGTTTAATATATACATTTTTTAAACCCATTCTCACTTTTAACAGATCTAGTCACAAGTTTCTCACCCAGGTATTCCTACTTGATTAATTCTGTATTTTAAATTCACACTGAATGAAAGCAGCAGCACCTCTTAACTGAGTACCCACTCACCACTGTACACGCTTAGTAGCTGCTTCTCTCTTTGGCCCCAGGAATGGTAAGAATCATTACACTTCTTTGAAAGGATACCTTTGACAATTCAGGATAGTATTAAGTAGCATTAGTGTATTTGAAATTTTTAAAGAAGTCACACTTTTTTGGGGAACATTCTACAACCTTTATTTAGCATCAGGTAGATTATAACACTTCAAGACAGCAATTAAAATAATTTACTGGCAGCTACCTAAGGCCCCTTGGAGCAATATCTCAGTCTGGGGTTTGGGTGGATAAATACTATAAGATTAATGTACCCCAATTAAAGGGGTAAAGCTACTGTACAGTAGGTCTCATATATAAAGTACCCAGGTATCTTGCAAACTGAAATGCACAAGACCTCCTTTTATATAGTCTGATACTTGTAATACATGAATGCTGCTTAATTTCTCTGGTGGCACTTGCCACTGGAAGTTGAAGCATTTAAAAAGGTCATTATGTAATGATAGTGATTAAAATCTATTTCTATGACATTTCTGTGAATTGCTAGATTTTATTTTATACATATTTTCAGTTCAAACATATAATTTAAACATTTTAGCTAATCACAGAAAATTGTAAAAGTAAACTCAGAGCACTAAAATAAGATTAATTTTTTAGAATTTTCAAATTGGGACTACCTACTTTGAATTTCCAGGCTTTTTTTTTTTCCTTGTGGAGGTAAGAAGGGGTAAAATTGAGAGGATTAGTATGAATAAACGCCATCTTGTCAATTTAGTCTTTACAAATGACAAATCTCTACATTTGAGCACATAAGATGTTGTGCAGGAGAATCCTTAACATTTCAAAGTTACATCTAAAACATTGAAGCATGACAGCATCAAAATACTCAAAATAACTTGATTTGGGATTACTATATAATTCCATAAGGCTAAAGTTACATTTAGGTATAAACCTCCAGTAAACATGGCAACAGCAACCAGAAAAAGCATCTTTTCCAGCAGTCTCTCTTACTCTCTATAAAACAGTATTCCAAATATGTGTGGACAGCAAAATTACACATTTTTTATAAGACTTTCATCATCAATATTACCATATGCTATACCTTGTGGGGTAAAATGCAAGTTTATGAGTTTTTTTTAAAGATGAGTAGAAACCAAGGAAAAAATTTTAAAACAGGTTTTAAGACTTATTTGTAGATTAGTCAAACATCCTGACTTGTCTACATTTTAATAAATGTCAGGCAAATTGAAGTAGTTTCTGTCCCAGTAGCTGCCAGAGTAAATCCAGTCCTGTGCTCCATTGTAGGGATTAGGACCTTGATGGAACCACCTGTTGAAAGAGCAAAGGAGGGGGTCAATATGGTCCGAGTACATTGTGTGCATGTATGGAAATGTTAGAGTGAAATCCCTTGCTTGTTCACTGAATATATACTAATACAGGGGAAAAGGTTCAAAATCACAAGGAATCTGGTGCTTCACTAGCATTACTTTCCTACTGTGGCAATTTACTGCACTCTCTGACAGGGATTCCCAAAGAAACCCTGAAGAAATGATAGTGTTTTTCTGTTTAGGGAACATGTATACAGAACAGTATTCCAAAAGGGGTCATGATAGGTAAAAGGGTATGATCAACAGCAGTTAGAAATGCAGTACTACTTAACAGAAATAGGATCTTCTAATAGGGTTGTTAGAAACAACCAGTTTAATCAGTTTCTCTTTTGACCCTACTCCTAATCTTCCACTAGAATGCATTCTGTTAAACAATCAGAAATAAGGAACGAACATATGGAAATAAGCTTCCACAACATATGCCAACATGTATGGTGCCTCGTTTAGGCATGCCCCCACTCAGAGCTCCATTTTATAGCTGAAGAGCTGAATAGCAGAGCAGTTACACAGCAGCTAGCAGCTCAAGCTAGTAAAGACAGCAAACTTAGGTTAAAGACCATGATGTTTTTAATCTACTACATAATCCACAGAAATAAAGTCAGTTCTAATCTTCCTGGGTTTCAATTTCCTCACTGTTAACATAGATTCTTAGGGTACTCTAGCTTTTAACATCATAACCTGTCCTAATTCTAATAAGAGCTGCCCTAAATAATTTTCTTGCCCTTTAAAATACATGACATGCATTTTTCATAGTACTAGCTTGCTGTAGGTAATGGAAATGCAAAATGACTTGCTTAAAAGGTTCAATTATGGGCTGGGGCATGGCTCTGGCAGTACAGCACCTCCTAACAAGCTCAAGACTCTGAGTTCAAACTCCAGTACAGAAAAGAAAAGGTTCAATTTTTGTAACATTTCCTAAAACAGGATTTAGTAGCATTTATGAAAAGTTTCTATTCTTTCCAAATAAATTGCTCAGTGAAGTAAATCCATAATTTTCCTATTATCATTACAGCAATAACAAAAGTCCTAAGAAAAGAAAAATGCCTTCTATTAGGTTCTCTGAAGGATTACACAGTAAATGCCCATTTAACCAAATTTTCCAGATTATTGTTAAATGACAGCTCACAAAACACAGTTCTAGCTTTTATTTTCAGTTTTTTTCTGAGTTGGCCAAACATCTATGCTTTCTGAATATTAAGCCTTTTATCCAAATGGAAATATTCTTAGTGAACTTTTTGTTTATAGTATAGACTTTAGAATGTGACCAGGAAAAAACGGAGTTATTAGAAATATAGCCAAAGATGGGGCTTTCTGTAGAAGAGACTAGAAAGAAGGATAAAATATCAAATCTTTTCAAAAAGTGGCTTTCATAGAAAAGTTTAATGAAGGTGGAGGCTGCAGTCATCGGTCTGTTTCTTACTAAGTCATGTGCCCTTGAGGAGGGGCCTACATTAAACGACATACAACACTGCTGCCTTCACTAGGAAGGGATTTCTATAGCAGCAGTTTTCACGCTGGTGTGCAGAGCTCCAGAGACCCTGGAGTATGTGTGGGTAGGAAAGGCAAGAAGCAGCCCAGGCCTGGCCAATCACCCCTGTTCTACCAAAGCAGTTCTGTTTGCCTGGGTTTTATACCTGTAGACTCTCCATGAGTTCATTTACAAAAAAAGCAAAAAAAAGATTTTTATGCTAACACAAAAGGCCAAAACCTAGTGTAAGATCATTTCTACTTCCAAAAATTGTGTCTCTCTAGGATATGAAAGGACAACCAAATAATATTTATTGAGATGCAAAATCATGCCCATGTTGGTTTTAAAATTTATTTAGTAACTGAATCATGGGACAACAGTTTCTATTATGTGATAAAAATGTAAAAATGTTTTAATGCTAATTTACAAGTGATTCTATTAATATAAGTGACTAATCAGCAACTTCTGATTTAAGTCAGCAATTCTATTGTCCACTTCTACTCCTGAATGGAATCCAAGATGTTACTTTACAAATCCTACTTCCATCACATGCTGAATCTCATGTTTGGAAAGTAAATGCATTCTCTAAATATTACAATACATGCCCTATGCAAATGATCCTGTAACTGACTCATCTATGAGGAAATGGGTATGGACGTATCTCCATGCCAAAATCTGTAGTTGTGGGTTTTACTTTCCTTCTTCAATAAGGAAGGGACAGGGTTTGCTGGATAAGAAAGAAAGGTAAATTTGCTTAACTGACCTTATCTACAATAGCTATGTGGGAATATTTTAACTTCTATTTTCTCAATAGTCATTTTTTGTTGTCATATACACAGCTCTTGGATTTAATATTTAGGAGTCATTGAAAATAGTATTTCTCTTAGTCCTGGAACAAGTCAACAGGGCGTATGTTGTAGAGGCCCTTGCTCTGTGGTTCAAGTGTTTGAAATCCTTGCATCACCCACATACAACAGCCTACCCAAGGGCTCAGCCACACTGAACAGGGCACGCACCTCGTCTTCCAGTCCTCTTCTGACTTGGATCTGTTTTTGCGAGCTGCTCTTTGTTTTTCCTCAAGCCGTTTTTTTTCTTCACTAGCTTGATCTAAACAAGGACGATGAAAAACATTTATTCAGAGAATGCCAGACACAATACTAAGCACAGAAACTATGGAGACTAACTATCCCCACACACTAGCATTTTCTTGTTTTGTACTGGAACACAAACACCATATCAACACTGAATTTAAAAGGTAAAGCTGGCATTTGAGATGCCATGATCTTTTTGGACAGCCAATGCCCTTAAAAAGCCTCCACATTTTCCAAAAAGAACCTGCTTATTCTTAATGCCAAAAAACCTATGCATCAATGAAAACTCAGATGGAAAAATTGAATAAATGTGAAATTATTCTAAATTCTTAGTTATACCCCGTAGAATTCCCTCAGATGATATTCATAAGAAATTCAAACACTCTTCCAACATATCATTGCTTTATATCACTGGAGAGAATCAGAGTATTTATTACGACAGGGTCTCAACCTTAGTACTACTGGCATATTGAATGGGATGATTCCTTTTTGTTGGAGGCTGACATGTACATGACAGGACATTTATTTAGCAGTAGCCCTGTTTTCAGATGCCACTATCCCTAGTTGTAACCAAAGTCTCCAGATAGTGCCACATATTTCCTGGGAGGAATAACCCCTCTGAGTACCACTGAGTTAAAAGAAATTTAAACTAAGATTAAAAATGTTGTAAGTAATCAAAAGGAAGTGATATCCTCTAGAGGCTGACAAGGTAACGTGAATTCTGGAATAAAAAGAGAAGAAAACAGAACACAGTTTAAAGATAAAGATGCTAAGTTTCCTTCTGACATTTAAGGTCTGCTTTTGGTCATATGAAGTGTACTGAAGTACCAGGGGATACTACTGAAGCAATGAATTTAAGCTAAAAAGGTTGAGCACAGATTTTCAAATTTAAAACAAAAGTTACTGAATTCAAACTTAAAAATCTCTAAGAGAGACTAAAGTTGCCAGCATCCCAAGGATGGTGACAATGACCAAGAATGAAAGGAACCACTAGCCGAAGAACAGCTCTGGCAACCGCTGCTCCTCACCTATCTCTCCGTTCTCCATGGCTCTGATGTCTGGTCGCAGCCTGCAGTCTGTCTTAGGAATCACACTCTCCATTTCTTTGTCTATTTCATTCAAAACCATTGTAAAGCTAGTAAAATTATACATCTGAAAAGAAAAAAATTGATCAAATGAACACCTGCCAAGGCATGGCAAAAATGGAAGCACGAAAAAGAGCAGTATGATCAGACAGTGACCCTCCCTTTGGTGGTTGTGATGGTTAGCCTTTTTCAGAACATGTCTAGATTCTTCTACCACAATCTGTACTGACTGTAGATATTCGCCTCACAGCAATCTTACAGTGAGCCTCACAGAGTAAATACTCTTATCTACTCTTAAGTAAAATCCGTATTTCCTTTAGTCTTCTTTATAAGCATTCTTTGCTGGGTCTGGAGGTTTGATCCTGACTCAGTTGAGTCAGTTTGTATGTAAAGAGGATGGTCTTACCCCAAGTAACTATTTTAGAAACCCTAATGAAGTGCTTCCCAGCACCTCTTCCACCCTGACTTGAGCTGAGACAGATGGCTGGACCTCCAGTGAGGAGGCAAAGCAGCACACAGGAGCCAGTAGGGGACAGCCAAGATACATCTGGGTGCTACCTGGGAAAGGGCCCCAGTCAGGGCTGGACATAAAGAGTACGGCCCCATTCACAAGGCTGGGCTCACCTGGGCGGAGTTTGGAGGTCGCGGAGCTATTCGCCACAGGAGGACACTTCCAGGGATGACAAACACACTTTCAGAATCTGGCATTGGCATTTCATCAGACTCCTCTGAGGTGCTCATCTAGAAGATCAACAGATGAACTAGATTTATGTCTGTCTTAAAATAGATACTTAGCAATTGTAAAATGACACCACTAGAAAGTAGAGTGTACAAGGGCAGAGACACTACAAGCTCTCTTTTTTTTCCCCCTGCAAAAAGTGTTCTTTTCCACTTGCTCTGAGGCTTGGGAGGGGGCTCCAGGTGGTAACAAGCTGCCCCAGGGCATGCAGAGGGCCCTCAAAGGAGACATCTAGTTGTGCTGGGTGGTGCGCCTTTGGAGAAGGCACATGGCTGGTCCCTCAGAGGTCAAGTAAGCGTCCCCTCTCCACTAATCCTCCTGGTGAGCTGTGCCTCCCGTCCAGGAAGTCACAGAAACAGGTGTGTGGGGCAAAGCCCAGGGCACAAGGAGCCAAAAGAACTTGTTTTAGACCACAGCGACTTCCGTGGCTCAGCGTCCTGCCCCGTTCATCCTGAGATGGGGTCTGCACGTGCTGGAGGAGGGTGTAGCCTCCACACTGGTTTTGCATCATCAAGAGATGCTCCGTGCTCCTGTGCTTCTCCGCCTACTCAAAGAAGTAGTGGCCCACCCAATCTACCCTCCAGAGTAGCATCATCATGGCTGAAAGAAAAGCCAGAGAGAGGCAGGCAAACTGACCTGCTTATCAATGGCCTCATCCTTGCTGGAATAAGTCTAAGGGATCTGGGATGTTAGGACTCACTGACAATAAGGAGCTTACTACAAAATATGATGACTGGTTTCTAAAAGCAGGAGACAGGTGAGAAGATGGTCCTGGAGGATGGGACAGGAGAGGAGACAAAGGTGTTTAAGAGGCTGGAAGACAGAGTGTCCTCAGGGCTATTCCATGTGAACTCTGTTGAAGCAAGAGAGACTGCAGGACTGCCAGGTGTTCCCCACGTGATGATTTTCTAATCCTTATATTTTCACATGTATGGGATGACTGGATGCATGCTAGGAGTCTCTGGAGTCTGTGGCTGTATCAGTTAGTATCATTTGCATTCAGTACAGTGTTGTCTTCATTACCACCCCTCTATACTACAGCATTTCATGTTTTTTAAAACTTTTGTTTTTAAAAAGAGAAAATGACTCGTGAGTATTTACTGAGAAAGTGCTAAATGCCCAGCACTAGGATCCCAGAGGAGGGCAGGAACTACTGACTCTGAGGAGCTCATACACGACAGAGGACAGCCACATGGGTCATGCTAAGAACAAAAAGTTACATACTGGGCACTTAACAAAAGTCATCAGTGACGCAAAGCCAGGATTCTTCAATGCTTGGATAAAAAGAAAACTTAAAAAGATGTGGAGCCAGAAAGGAAACTAAGGGTTCCTCTGGCTCCATGGGCCAAAGCTTGCTAGGTGTTCCTGGGTCTTTGCATAGTACATCTGTGAGGAGCTGTTATTGCCACAGCTATGTAAATAGAGAATCCAAGGTTCTGGAAGGTTAAGGAATATTCCTGACAAGATACTTAACAAGTCTAGAACCACGGTTTAAGACAGTGTCAGCAAGAAAGCAACAACACTGATGGTGAAAGATTCTTACAGCAGGTGAGTATGATCAAGAACACCGGAAATTCATGGGAAGGAGTTGCATGCAGGAACAACAGAGCAGAGAAGGACTAAGTACATGATAGTACTTAGTCTCCACTTTTCTGTGGAGACTGATCATAGATTATGGAACTTAACAGTTTCCATAATTTTGCCAATGTCCTTTGTTGTCTGTGCTCTGTATGGACAGGCTGAATGAAAAGTATGCTAATGAGGATGCCTTTGCCAAATTGTCTTCTGTTGGCAGGAGCTGTGGCCATGGAGTTTGGGTCTGGGGTTCCTGGATCCTGGGATGTTTCTTTCCCCAGTCCCATTGGTTTCTTGACAGTTGAAAGAACAATCAGTACACATCACTGAATGAGGGAAAAGAAGGTGGGAACATGGTCTGTAAGAAGGAGTGGAACTGCACACAGAGCTGAAGGGAAATAGGGGAAAGAAAGGCCACAGCCACAGGAAAGCTTCATACTCTGGCTATTTAGCAAAGCTTCACCTCAGGAAGAGGAGGCTCAATTTACAAAGCAAGTCAGTAATAAATGCAGCATCTGCTTCTGAGGAAAATGAGTGCTTTTAAAATTTTTGCATGCATCAGAAACACTGAAGAGCTGGAGAGACGGTGACTCTGGCATGTCTGAGATGAGGTGTAGGAGCCCACATTTTTAACAAGTACTCTGATAGTAGATGAGCTGCAAGTCTGAGGACATATTTTCATCAGAAAGAACTTTGTTAGTCTTACTCAGAATTTGTGCTCCTACCATAACCACTGGTTATTGGAGAGCAGTCAGTTTTCAAACAAGTATTTCCTATTCCAACAGGTGCAATCTTTCTTTAGCTTTCAGCTGTTCTGCCTGGAGGGAAGTGACAGGAGTCTGCTGAATGTGAGAGCCTGCCTGTGGCCAGGCAAGCAAGCTATGTGCCTCACCTGTGGGAAACCTTATCTGACCCAAGACTGTTGAACACCACAAAGATTGTTTAGCATCAAGAGGAGAATAGACCAGTGATGACAACTTTCACTATGATGGACCTAATGTCAGTGACTTAGTGGTTTGGAACAAGCCAACAAGACAGATAAGCATGAAAATATAAGAGATAATTTTGGAGGAAATTTGACCTATTCAAATTATTTCAACTTCTATAGCACATAAACAGTAGTAATTTGTCTAAGATGAGATCCAACTTTCAAAGCCATGTGAATTCAATCAAAACCCCACAGAGAACTGCTCCATAGCCACATCCTATAGATTATCAGGTCAAACATTTGCTACTAAGGCAGATATCTGCTCATTAAGAAGATTCAAGGAGAGAAGTACATGTGTTTAGCAAAACCAAAATAAAAATGTCTATTTGTGACCCAAAAACAGGTTGTCTCCAATTCCAAAAGGATTTTTACAAATGCCAAGAGTCCAGTTACTCGTGTATCACAAGATGTTCACCTGTTTGCTGTTCTTCTTGTCTTCAGTGTTTTTCTTATCATTTTTTTTGTAGGCATCAAAAGTGGCAGGGTCAACACTGTATAAACACTCAGTCCACTTTCCATAGAGGGCAGAGAGCTTCTTTTTGCTGTCAAGAGAAACTGATGTTTAGCCAACAATTAAATAAGTGTTTTGCTATAACAAAATATTAACATAAAGATTTTTTATAAGTCAAGTTCTTTAAAGAAATAAGATATCTTTATAGAAGAAAGACTTTTCTACACATTAAAAACTTTTTATTAGGTTATAGTAATGAATTTTCATGCCGGCATCTTAGTGAAGAGCTATATCATCAACATTTAAAATAGAGACTTTACCTTTTATCTTGTATGTAGCCTTCAACTTTGTGTAATTCCTTACCAAAAAGGCCACATGGCTTGAAATTCAACACACATTTGTCTCCAGTCCTATGAAGGAAATTGTAAATTCAGATTACCACTCAATGCCAAAGAAGCAGTAGAGAACCATGACTATGATAAATCAGCTTGCTGTTCACTGATTTTCTTTCTGTGCCAGGGTCCATATAGGACCTATTATGACCAATCTTCCAACATCAGTGTGCCTGCCATAAAGAGGACAGATGAACACTCATAAGGAATAAGTTACCTGCCTAAATTCATAGGTAGGATTTGAACCTCAGTCTTTTATAACTCTTATGCCCCTCCCACCTCACCCATCACACCCCTGTGAGAAACACAAAGTAAACAATATAATGGGAAAGGACTGAGACTGGAATTAAGAGTCACATCAGCTGGGGAAGGTCAGGGTTCATCCAGTCTTCCTTAATCAGAAACTTTAATGGACACTGTTCATTAAATGGATTGGCTTTTATTCACTCAAGATTGTCCAATTCTTACATTTTCTTGGCTGTACTAGAGCTTTTTTTTTTTTTTTAAATGAAGTCCATTGCAACTGTTTGATAAAAATTGATAATCTGGGTAAGAACTCTAACATGCCTTACTTGTGGTTTGTGATTTCCATATTGCCATACTGCTCAATCCAGAGTTTACCCACGATGATATTATGCACACAGCAGGTGGGATTTGTCCATGTATATGCCTCATTGTGTCTAAAAAACAAACCCAAAACCCAGAGAAGAGTCATTTTGTTTAAAAACTGTATTTGATTCAAATACATCAGGCTGCTTGAGATTACTAAACTCTAAGACATTAAAAATTACTGATGTTAACACACAGTAAGATAGGTTATCAACTGACTATTCTAATTTTTTCAGTACTGGGGCTTGAACTCAGGATTTGCACTTGCTAGGCAAGTACTCTACTTCTTCAGCCATGCCTCCAGCATTTTTGAAATAGGATCTTGCTTTTTGCATGGTGCCTGGACGATGATCCTATTTATGCATCCCCACAGAAGCTGGGATGACAGGCACATGGCACTGCACCCATATTGGTTGAGATGGGGTCCTGTGAACTTTTTTGTGAGCTAGCCTTAAACCTCTTGATATCTGCATCCCCATTATCTAGGATTACAAGTGTGAGCCACTGGCACCTGGCCTGTTATGGTTTTAAAAGAACAAATGTTTAAAAAAAAAAAAACCCTACCAAAATTCAAATAAACTATACACTAGCTGAGTATCCCTAATCCAAAAATCTGAAATCCACATTTCTTAAGTGCTGACATGACACTCAAAGTTTCAGGTTTTGGAGTACTTTGGATTGTGGACTTTCAGATGAGGGATTCTCAACTGGTAAGATCTATGCAAACATTGCAAAATAAAAAGATTCCTAAATCTAATCATTTTAAGCATTCAAAAGCTTAGTGAAACATATGAAAAGTAAAATTAAATTAGAAGTAGAAAACAGAAATGAAATTCTAATTAGCACTTTTCAGAGAAAGTATCCTTCCATTCACCGAGAAGAAAATGTGTATGTGAATAATCTTTTCCTTTGCTTTTAAAATTTTTTATGTCTTTATCTATTATCCATATACATATTTAAATTTATTTTAAATTTACATACAGTAAAATTCATTCTTGTGTCTTGTTCTGTAAGTTTTAATACATGTACAGAACTGGGTACTTGTCACCAACACAATCGGAAAATGGAGCAACTGTCATGCCCCCAAAATTTGCTTGGGCTTTCCCAAACACACTTCCATTTTCTTTTCACCCAATCCCTAAATCATCCCTAATCTCTAAATAACTTATCTATTCTCCAATGGAATAGTTTCACCTTTTCCAGAATGCCATGCAAATGGAATGATACAGTATGCAACCTTTTGAGATAGCTTCAATTTGTACAGTGAGTTTCAAATTCATTCTTGTTCTTCTATGTATTGATAATTCATTCTTTTTATTGCTGAATAGTATCCCATTGTATGTATGTATTAAAGTTTAACCATTCACTCAATGAAAGGCAGCTGGAGTTTTCAGTTGTGGTTATGAAAAATACTACTATAAACATTTAAACAGAGGTTTTTATATTAACACGTTTTTATTTCTCTAGCCTGGAGGTACTGTTTTGTTTTTTAAAAACTTGTTTCTAGCCATTCTAATAGTTGTACGCTGGTATCTCATCGTGGTTTTAATTTTGTATTTCTCTAATAACTGTCACTGTGCATCTTTCATGTGTTTATTTTGCCATCCATACATCTTAGTAAGGTATTTGTTCTTATCTTTTCCCAATTTCATGCTGACTATAAACATAAGAATATAAGAACATATAAGAATCACTTATTATCAGCTTAAGAGTTATTTATATACTCAGGACTCCAGTCCTTTGTTGAATACATGATTTGTGCATAAATTTTACTAGTCTCCAGTTTATCTTTTCATGCCCTCAATAGTTTGTTTTACAAAGCAAAACTTTTCAATTTTCATAAAACCTACTTTAGGGCTGGAATGTAGCTCAGTGGTGGAACACAAAGCCCTGGGTTTGATCTCTATCATGGCAAAAACAAACAAAAACCTAGTTTATTAATTAAGTCTTTTTATGTACTATGCCTTTGGTATTGTAAGAGGTCTTTGCCTAATTCAAAATCATTTGAATTTCTGTTTTCTTCTACAAGTTCTATAGTTTTACATTTTACTTTAGTCCATGAATTACATTTAGTGCTATTTTTAAATAACATGTGAGGCATAGCTTGAGGTTCATTTTTAACATATGGATGTCTACTTGTCCCCAAACTATCTGTGGAAAGGACTGTCCTCAGCAGCATTGCCCTTGTACCTTTTTCAAAAAACAAACAAACAAAAATCCTAACCCTAGTTCCATGGGGCCCATTTTAGACTCTCTTCTATGCTCCACTAATTATCTTCAGATCAGGTAAAAGACAGTTTGTCAATTCTGTTCTTTTGACTACTGTATATTTCATTTGCCTTTCTGGATAAATTTAGAACAAACTTCTCTAACAAAAATCAACTGGGAATTTTGATTTGTGTTAATAGATTGTTTATAGCTCATTTGGGAAAGAACCAATACCTTAACTATATTGAGGCTTCCAAATATACTGAGACACAGTGGACCTTACGTGACTCTTTGGTTACTTTCCCCGGTGTTTTATAATTTTTAGCATACTCATTCTGCTTCTGAGTCTATCCTGGTTATTGTATTACATTTTTCAGTACTAAAAGTTCCAGAAATACTTTTATCTCTTTGCTAGAGAATTTTTCTATCAAGAGTGTTTTCATTAAACAGTGTTTATGGTCATCTCAGGGAGCAGTTATAGCAGCTGCTTTAAAGTCTTTATGCAAATTTCAGTATCTGGGTCATCCTGGGATTAGAGTCTGTTGATTGCCTTTTCCATTGTGAATTATCAAAATTTTTATGGAGTCAGAGGCATGGCTCAAATGGTAGAATGCCTGCCTCACAACTGTGAAGCCCTGAGTTCAAACCCTAGTACCTCCAAAAAAAATTTTTTTTTTGTTAATTGTTTATTGTTTATACATGTATTCATATGTGTATACATTGATTGTTTGGGCCATCTCACCCCCACTCCCCCCTCCCCGCCTCACTTCCAGGCAGAACCTGTTCAGCCCTCTTCTCCAGTTTTGTTGAAGAGAAAACCTAAGAGATAATAAGACATAGCACTTTTGCCAGCTTGAGATTAAGAAAGCTATACAGAGAGATTCCTAGCATTGCTTCCATGACATGTATATTATAACCCAAACTGGTTCATCTCTACCAGACCTCTTCACTGCTTCCTGGTCACCTTCCTATAGTAGCCTCTGTCAGTTTAAGATTACTATATTCACTCCTCTACTGTGGACACATCAAACACTTTCAAGTTTTAGGTTTCCTTCCCTTTCCCTATTCCTCCTGTATGTGTTCTCCCCTTAGTGCGTGACCCGTGTCCAATAATATTACTGCATTTGTTTTAAGTCTATAATCTGCATATGAGGGAGAATATATGATTTTTGGTCTTCTGAGCCTAACTAACTTTGCTTAAGAAGATGTTCTCCAGTTCCATCCATGTACTTGCAAATGACAAAATTTCATTCTTCTTTGTGGCTGAGTAAAATTCCATTATGTATAAATACCACATTTTCTTAATCCATTCTTTGGTAGTTGGGCATCTTGGCTGTTTCCATAACTCGGTTATTGTGAATAGCGCTGCAATAAACATGGGTGTGCAGGCGCCTTTGGAATAATCTGAATCGCATTCCTTTGGGTATATCCCTAGGAGTGATATTGCTGGATAATATGGCAGATCTATGTTTAGTTTTCTAAGAAGCCTCCATATTGTTTTCCAAAGTGGTTGTACTAGCTTACATTCCCACCAGCAGTGTATGAGGGTTCCTTTTCCCCCAACAGCTTTGCCAACATTTGTTGGTGGTGGTGTTTCTGAATGATAGCTATTCTAACAGAAGTGAGGTGGAATCTTCGTGTGTTTTGATTTGCATTTCCTTTATGGCCAGGGATGGTGAGCATTTTTTCATGTGTTTTTGGCCATTTGGACTTCTTTCTTTGAAAAAGTTCTGTTTAAGACAAATAAATAGCATTAGAAGAATAATAAAAACAGTAAGTGCAAACAGAAAAAAGACAGAAACAGAAAGTATAAATTTAAAACCCTAGCCATTTTCTGTGTCCTCTTCTCTGTCCTATCTCCCCCACTTAGTTTCTCTACAGAAGTAATTCTGTTCAATACTCTCATTTGGGTAAACTGAGAACCAAGGAAATAATATGACCCACCAAACTTATTAGTGTCTAAAACAGACTAAAACTTGGCAGAGACAGGTCACCATGTTAGTCTTGAATACTTTGTAAATTGTCTTATTTATTTGCTCAATCATCAATTATTGCTTTTTATATTTCTGTTTTGTATCAGTAGCTAACCACTGTTTAATATCTTTGTAATCTTCTTCTTTCTTCCCAAGAAAGGACCACTTCAACTTATTTATAATAAATATAAAAATATTTCAAGGAAAAAAAAAAGAAAAAGTTCTGTTTAGTTCAGTTGCCCACTTCTCTACTGGTTCATTGATTTTGGAGGAGTTTAGGTTTTTTGAGCTCCCTGTATATTCTGGTTATCAGTCCTATGTCTGATGTATAGCCAGAGAATATTTTCTCCCACTCTGTGGGTGGTCTCTTCAGTTTATAGAGACCATTTCTTTTGTTGTACAGAAGCTTTTTAATTTCATGTAGTCCCATTTGTCCATCCTTTCTCTTAGTTGCTGGGCTGCTGGAGTTCTACTGAGGAATTCTTTGCCTACCTATTGCTTCCATAGTATTCCCTCCTCTTTCCTGTACTAACTTCAGAGTTTTGGGTCTGATATTAAGGTTCTTAATCCACTTTGAGTTGATACTAGTACGGGGTGATAGGTACTACAGGTATGGATCTAGTTTCAGTTTTCTTCAGGCAGATAACCACTTTTCCCGGCAACATTTGTTGAAGAGGCTGTCTTTTCTCCATTGTATGTTTTTGGCGCCTTTGTCAAAAATAAGGTGGGTATAATATCTGGGTCCTCTATTCTGTTCCACTGGTCTTCCTATCTGTTTGTGCCAGTACCATGCTGTCTTTATTGCTATGGCTCTGTAACAGAGTTTGAAGCCGGGTATCGTGATACCTCCGCATTGTTCTTTTTGCTGAGTATTGCCTTGGCTACTCACAGTCTCTTGTGTTTCCAAATGAACTTTAGGGTAGATTTTTCAATCTGTGATGAATGTCATTGGAATTTTGATGGGAATTGCATTAAACATGTAGACTACTTTTGGTAGAATAGACATTTTTACTATGTTGATTCTACCAATCCATGGGCATGGGCGATCTCTTTACTTTCTATAGTCTTCCTCAATCTCTTTCTTCAGAGACTTATAGTTCTCCTTGTAGAGATCACTCACATCCTTTGTTAAGTTTACTCCCAGGTATTTGATTTTTTTTGAGGCTATTATAAACAGAATTGTTTTCCTATATTCTTTCTCAATTTTTTCACTGTTGGTGTATAGAAAGGCTACTGAATTTTGTAAGTTGATTTTGTATCCTGCTACATTGTTGAAGCAGTTTATGGTGTCTAGGAGTTTTTGGGTAGAGATTTTTGGGTCTTTGAGGTATAGGATCATGTCATCTGCAAATAGGGATACTTTGACAATTTCTTTACCTATATGTATTCCTTTTATTACTTCTTGCCTTATTGCTCTGGCTAGGAATTCCAGGACTATGTTGAATAGGACTGGGGACAGTGGGCACCCTTGTCTCGTTCCTGATTTTAGGGGAAATGGTTTCAGTTTTTCTCCATTAAGTATGATGTTGGCTATAGGTAGGTCATATACAGCCTTTATAGTATTGAAGTACATTCCTTTTATTCCTAGTTTTCTTAAAGCTTTTATCATGAAGTGGTGTTCAATTTTATCAAAGGCAAAAGAGATTTTTCTTAATCTGCACCAAGTAGTAATTTTGGATTGTATTCTAGACACTTGAATTTGGTAAGACTCTCTTAAAATCTTCTGGAGAACACTGAAACATAGTTTCAGCCACAAGTTCTGATCCTATGGCGTTTGAATCCAGAGTCAGTTTAATTTTCAAAACCTTTGTAATGTTACTCAGATCTGCCCCTTGCCATCTAGGAACCTGGCCTCAGGCCACATTACTTTCAGATCTCAAAGCCTTTAGTGCACTATATGAGTCCCTTGAATGCATGAGGGTGGGGATGGGCTTAGGAACTCACATAGATTTTTTGGGAGCTCCCTCTTTTGTAAGGTTTCACCTCCACACTTAGATTCCAGGGGCTCCATCCTCTGTCCTCTGGCTGTTGAGCTGGGGTTTCAGTTTTTGCTTTGTCTGTACTTCCTATAATTAGACTTTCCTCTGGGGCAAAAAGTTGAGAGAAAGAAATAACAGGGATTCTCTTCACATTCTCTGAACCACAAAGGCCTGTTTATCTAATTCCTTAGCCAAGGAGAAGAAATTTTTCTGAGTTTTAGGCACGTGTGTGACTGCTGCCACTGCAGAAGAGCAGCTGCAGGCCTCAGCACTTGCTTTGGGGCAAAACTGGGAGATAAAACAAAACAGGATTTCTGCTGCTCTCCCCATCTGCAATGGACTCTTTCCAGGTTCTCTAATCAGAAAAAAGACGGTTTCTCTCAGAGCAACTTCTATATGCTTCCATGGTCCAATTATGTTATTTGCTGCTCTGACTCTAAGCCAGGAGAAATGGGAGAAAAATACACAACCAGGAATCTCACTGCTGATTTGATGTTTAGGATCTGACTTCTCTTCCAATCTGCCTGTCTTTATTTACTGTCCAGGATTTCTAGATGTAGTCAGTGGGGAAGAGGTTAGAGTATGCTACTCTGTCCTAACTGGAACTGCTTTTGAATTTAAAGTTAGTCTTGCAGAAGGTAAGAACTCCCAACTTACCTAATATCTAACATGCCACAAAACTGTTATTTCAATATTTTCCAACGTGAATTCATTTCAAAAGATCTTTTAACAAAAGGATGGCACCATGATATGTAGACAGCCAGTTTCATAAGAACTGCTATGGAATTATTAACTTCATCTATCTTAAAACAGATCCAAACATCAATTAAACTTTTCACATGTATCCAGACTGATTAACAGTGGCTACTGGCATGCTTTTCAAATTCTTTTATATAGCAGTAGGTTTATACTTGATAAATGCTATTTCTTTCAACTTCCCCAACTTTTGAACAACCAGGTCAGGTCTGTGTCCACATGTACACACTTACAAGTCAGCATGCATGAATATAGCTGAATGGCTTAACTGAAACTTACTCAAGGAGCTCCAAGGTGATGGTTCCTTTGGGTTCTGCCTCTACACTCTTCCCCCAGAACTTCAGTTTCGGGTAGATAGAGCCATGAAAGATGAAGTCATTGTTTAATCCTTCTGCATGAAATGCGCTGATTGGTGGATGATGGCTGACCTGTTCTGAGATGAGTCTGAACCCAAGGTCATCTCTTAATATTAAAAAAAAAAAAAAAAAGCAACATTGTAATTAACTATCACTGAATGTGAACATTATTATAATTTCAGCCAAAAAACAATAATTAAAGAAAAGACTTGAAAATAATTTAAAAAGAAAAGAAACAAGTTTTTGTTTGTTTGTTTTTTTAAATGTCAGTACTGGGGTTTGAACTTAAAGTCTCACACTTTCTATGCAGGTACTCAACCACTTAAGCCACTCCACCAGCCCAAGGAACAGGTCTGACTAAGTAAATAATTCTTTTTATCATCCTGATGAAAGTACCACTTAACATACAAGAAACAGTACAAATACAACCTGAACTATTCAAACCAGTGTAATTGTAATGCCAGCTACTTGAACATATTAAAATAAAGAATACTCACATGAATTTGGGTGATTTACATGAAATTATACTATTAGTCATATAAATTTATTTTTTGAAGTTTTAGCAAGGATTTTTTTCACTATGACAAGATAAACTATTGATGGGGTGTGGGGGGTTGGGGAGAAAAAAGAGAAACATTTCTGTTCTCCATGCAGGAAATGAGAACAAAAACTCAAAATGGTAGTTCCATCTCCCAATCTTGTATTGGAGAGCTGGGGGGAATACACAGTCAAAGACAACTTGTCTGAGTGCCTGAGATTAGCTATGTAAATTTAAAACTTAAAATTCCTTTTATATAAGACAGAGAAGCTGGGCATGGTGGCACACACCTATAATCCCAGGTACTTGGGAGGCAAAGGCAGGAAGATCTTGAATTGAAGGGCAGCCTGGGCAATTTAGCAAGACCCAAAACATTGTTTTAAAAGAGGCTGGGAGTGTAGCTCAGGGGCAGAGTACCCAGCATGCACAATGCCCTGGGCTTCAAGCCCCAGAACTACTTTAAAAGAGAAAAATACAGTGTGTTATCTCTCCAACATCTAGGGGATGTTGGAAACTGTGCAGAAGAGGAGGAAGATACAGAAAGACTAAAGTCAAATAAATCTGCCAGTTGTACAGAAACAGTCTCACATAGGCAACTATTACTGTATATGTTTATGCTAAGATATTTAATATGGTTATAAAACCGTGATCTCATCGTATGTTCTACATGAAAAGGAAGACAATTAATCCCACCTAATTAGGGACACTGAAATCTTCCCAATTACTTTTTATATTGATACATTTTATGTCCGTTTCAGTATTTTTGACATAGTCGCCAAAATGTTGCATGGAAATAAACGTCAAAATTGTTGACTTGTTTATCATAAAGAACTGTCTGTTTGGTGATACTCAAAATATGCATTTTTCCTCTTCATTGAAAAGCTATGTAAATCATGCAAATTCAACTCTCCATCTGGAATGGAGTGAAAGGCCTTACCGGACTAACTCGTATGTCTCCCCCAGGAGTGGGTTGAAGGGCTTTCCAGTGCGTTCCCACTGAGAAGCCACAGCAGACACAGCAAATGCAGCTACACACTGTGGACAGAGCATTACACAGGTTACAAACAGCCCAGACTGTACCTCACAAGCTCCCTAGAGAGCTCAAACTGTAAAATACAAAAAGTCTTCTAGCCTCAGTCCACAGTTTATGCTAGAGTGGTGTACACAGAAAAGCCCAATGTTGTCAGCCATAAGCAGTCTCAAACTTCTTTTGGAAAATCACCAACAAAAGTGGAATATGTGGTAAACTTTAACCTGCTGTTAAAGTAGATTTGGTTGAAGTGAAACGTTACTGTGTAGAAGTAACTGATAAAAGTATTTTGAGAAGTTTAATTATTTTGTATTTTTAATATGGTTCTAGAAACTTCATATGGAAGCCTGGATAATCAGAATGAAAATTACTGACCTCTTCCTATAGTATTATTTTCAAATGGAACTTTTATAACACCCTGAAGATAGTATAAATTCTCTCAAGGACTTTTTAAAAGCCCTTAAACTAGTTACTTTTAACACACTAAAATTTTTTTACAAGTATAATTGTTCTCAGTATCTGAGGGAGATTAGTTCTAGAAATCCCCCTGGATACCAAAATCTGTGAATGTTCAAGTCTCTTATGTAAAATGGTGTAATACTTGAATACAACCTACACACTCCCTCTCATATACATTAAATCATCTCTAGATTTATTAACATGATGTAAATAGTTGTTTATGGAATGATGACAAAGAAAAGTCTATACACGTTCAGTGCAGATATAGGTTTTTCTTCAGATGTCGATACAAGGTTGGTTGTGGATGCAAACCCATGAATACCAAGGGCCAACTACATGATGCTTTTACAACTGGGGAGAACAGACATGGAACTACAAATTTAATTGGTGTCAAAGCCACTGAAGTTGGGGGGGGTGACAGGAAAGGGGGTAGGAGGATGAACATGGTACAAAACAATGTATACACATGTATGTAAATGCAAAAATGACACCTTTTGAAACTACCCCAGGAATAGGAGGGGGATGGGAGAGACTGGTAGAGGTGGTGAATTCACTGTGTGATATACTTGATATATTGTAAGAACCTGTGTAAATGCCACAATGTACAACAATAAAGGGGAAAAAAGCCAGAGGTTAGAAAAGGCTTATTTACATAAACAAAAGAACAGAAAGATTCAGTTTAGAATGCTATTACTTTATTTGAAGACGAGTATGTCTACTATACTCTATTTATATCCCATCCACCCCATTCATCATATAAACTATTTAAATGGCTGGGCACAGTGGCACATGTCTGTCATCCCCAGCTATGGAGGCAAGTACAAACAGGATGACCAAGGTCTAGGCCAGCCCAGGCATGAAGCAACAAGACTCTATCTTAAAAATAACCAAAAGAAAAATGGCTGGAGCAGTAGCTTAAGTGGCAAACAGCCTGCTTAGCAACCCTGAGTGCAACCCCCAATACTGAAAAAAAAAAAGAAAAGTTCAATTCCTTGCTCTCTTTTGATTGAACGTATAGCACTGTGTGTGTAAGTAAATGAACACATAAGCATACAAATACATTTGTATGTGTGCATTCACTCCTTCTTAGAAATTTCTTAATAATGTTTTAAAAAGAATTGTTGGATTCTCCCTCCCCTCAACACAATGCTACGTTCTAAGACAAAGACTTAGAAACAGCTCACTGTAACAGGCGTGGGTGTGACCACCTTATGCTTCTCTTAGATTTCTCATCAGTCTTCTACTATAGTGGCCTCACTAAAGACAAGCAGGGGAATGAATGCAGAGGACTCTTCAAATACGCTGAGAGCTTTCAGGACACTTCTCACCCTCGCACTAGACTTCACAGTAATTTTGTGCATGTGTGCTTGGGATAAGTTGGGTAAAGAAGGAGAAGAAGAAGACTTAAACTTTCCCAATGCTCGCTTGATCCATACCTGCATCCTTTCCACAGGATCAGACAATGAACTGGCCTTGTGGATGAGGTAAGTATGCTCCATATATTCAGTTAGTCGCTGCAGGAAGCTCAGAGGCTCATTAAATATAACTGGCATCGTGATCTTGGATAGTTCCTATAACAAGAAAATTGAAACTGTTATATAAATAGCAAACTAATCTCTGCTATCTTTACATAATGTGTTCCTGAAAAGGAAGTAACAGAAGATTGCCACTCATGCAACTTAGTATCAGTTTAATTTCACAGACCTTTCCAGAACACCTTACAATAATGGAGTACACTGGACAATACAAGGAAATACAGAGACTCCCAAACATCCTCCTTGAGTTCACAGAGTGCACACTGTAATGGTGAGTTTGAGCTGATGATTATTACCATGGAATATGTAAAGGTGATGGGGACATAAAAAGCAAAACTCTGAGAAGTGTTAAAACAATTAAAAGATGGTTCCAGTGCCTTGGGTTCCAACAGAAGCAAAAAGAACCTCAACCAGTCACAAAATGACAAACTAACTTCTATACAGTAACGTTTCACTTCAACCAAATCTACTTTAACAGCAGGTTAAAGTTTACCACATATTCCACTTTTGTTGGTAATTTTCCAAAAGAAATTTGAGACTGCTTATGGCTGACAACATTGGGCTTTTCTGTGTACACCACTCTAGCATAAACTGTGGACTGAGGCTAGAAGACTTTTTGCATTTTACAGAATGGTTTTCAATTTTGGCTGCCAGTTTAAAAGATTTGGCAGGATCTCTGACTTAAAGCACAGATTTTCAACTTTGTTTACCATGTGCCATCAGCAAGCAACATCATCATGGGGTCCTTTAAAAAAGTCATTAAATAATAAATTTATTTTGCTATTCCTCTGGAATGTTCTGATGATCTTTCCAAACATCTACCTACCATTATTCGCCTTTTCTTTAGGAATCCTTGCTCAGGAAGCCTGCTGGCTGAAGTCGCCTGGTCAGGTAAACAGCCCTGAGGTGTAATCCAGGCTAAATGCCACCAGACTCAGCTCTGACTCCTCCCCCTAAATGTCAACATTCTAACTGATGTGCACAACTGACAATAATGTGGCTTTCAAAGAACTGTAATCAACTGTATTAAAAAATAGCTCATTTATTACCATAAAATATTGCAGAATACAGACCGACAGATAAAATGCCTCAACTTAATTAAACGAAGTAGTAAACTCACCAGGGAGATGAGGGAGGAAAAGGTACCCATAGAGGAAGAAAAGAAGGCTCAACTATGTATGCCATAGGATCTCACTAAACCCAGAGATTCACTGTTGAGGACAAGTCAAGAAAACTGGGACCACCAAGGCAGGTCTTAATTGAATCCCAGGCTCTCTCTTTCTTCCACTTAAAAAGTATGTCTTTTTTTTTTTCTTTGTTAAAAAAAGCATAGGGGAATACATAACTCTTTTAATATAAAATTTACATTATAGACTGGAGGTGTGAGGCACAAGTGGCAGAGTGTCTGCTTAGTAAGCATGAGGCAAAAAAATTACTATTATAAACAGAGAGTGAATGTGATTGATGTACTTTGTGTATATATATATATATATGAAAACAGAACAATGAAACCTGTTAAAGTTGTTCTAAGAACAGGAGGGAAGAGGAAGATAAGGGAGAATATGGAAGAGGTGAATCTAATTAAGATAATTGTAAACACATATATAAATGTCACAATGAATCTTCCCTGTACACCTAACACATGCTAATAAAAATGTAGAAAAAAAAGGTAAAAACATAGAGGGGGTTAAGAAAGAGTAGAATGTGGGTCAAATGGTAATTACAATTAAAATTTATAGTTCCCTAAGTAGATAATGAAAATCTCAGTGATATGAAGTATATATTATTTCCTTCCCCTTAAACCTCTTGGAAATTCATAGGAACACCACTGTTACTTCTATCCAGTGAAGATTGGTGTTGCAGTCCCTAGATACTGTAAGTGACGAATTCAGCATGGGTATACATACCAGCAGTAGGAAAAGAAACCTCACATTATGAAGATCAAGCTTCGAGAAGAAACATCAGCTAGAATACTTTCATCACTGAGAGCTTCAGTCAGCTGGAAAAATTAAATATTTATGCCAGGAATTCTACCTTGTGACCCAGCTAAAAGCAAAGTTTAAATTTATCCATGCAAATTAACAGCAACCAATGATGAAACTGAAGAAACTCCTAATTGTGACTGCTCATCAGCTGACAAACTGAGAAGAGAAAGCTGCTTCTTCACTCAAGTACTATAAAAACAACCCAAAAATAAGGCCAAGTTTGAGCTCAACTGAAATGGAAAATATTTTCTAAATGTAAAGTCAATCATTTTAATGACCAAATGTACAAACACTTAAGATGTGAGTTATCAAGAGAAAAGCCTCAGGAGCCAGGCTGTCTGTCTTCCCCAGGCAGCTGCTTGTGGGCAGGGGTGTACATCAAGCACTCAGTGGGCTCTGGGGCTCTCACTCATAGTCAGGTGCTGGCAGCAGTCCTGGCTGTTCCTTCCTCCATGACACCACCTTCCTATAACTCTTTTTTACATTTAAGGGCCTCAGAGAGTCAAATGGCTTTTTTCTCATATTGTGCCACTCAGTCCCCCATCCCATCAAGACGTTTATCATCATCTATCAGTAGATAAAAGGTTCTTGCCATCTGAATACCCAGTTATACCCTAAGAAGTCATGCTAAAACACTGTAAGACACTTATGGAACAACTTGGGATGAGCAGTTTGAAAAAAAGCCTGCTTCCCTAATGCCTTTTGCTGCTGGTCACAGGAGGCAGGAAAGGGAGATGTGTTTGTGTGTTGACTAAGTCATATTGTGGGCACCTTGGTGCACACCAATTAAAAGATTAGGAAAGCAAAACTATAGGAAAAAGGTAATATAAAGTGACTCCCATCTATCCTTCCTGCCCAATAGCTTAAGGCTGCAGAGCAGGGAGGTGGCTTGAGTCCTCTTGCCGGAGGTAATAAAGCAAAGACTGGAAAGTGGCTGGGAGCGAATATAGAGGGACAAGAGAAGCCCTGGCTGGGAACCTGCACTGTATCTATCTTCACTTGGCATGCATATTTAAGGGAATCCACTTCCAAACACTCCATTCTTACATGCACTCTTTCCTAAACACTGGCTTGCCTGGGGCTGTGCCTGCACTGAGGTCCCATGCTACACCTCGTTCCCTATCTGCTACTGGAAAAAAAAAAAAAGAAAAGAAAAAAGGAGAAAAGATATATACACCTCCCACCATCTGAGTTACTGTAAAGGTTTCTTGTTGAGAAGTGCAGAAGCCTTGGAAGCCTCACATGAAGGGAGGTTTGGTAACAGTGCTGTGTCAGTGAAGCATCTTTGGTTTGAGGCACCACATCGGGAATCCAAGACTCTCCATTTCCATGAAGGGAGAGATGCAGTATTAGAAACAGCATCTTTTGACTAGTTCTGACAAGTCTGAGATGTTCTGATTTCAAATCACTGTACAGTGATGTGGTGGATATGCCAAATTTTGTTTAACTACCTTGCTTCTTCCATCCTGTCCCTCAAGTCAGTGTTTAAACCACACCAGACCTGATGAGGCTTCATATCTAGCTCCATATGTATCAAGAGTTAGAATTCAGGAATGGGACAGATGAAGTAGCATACACTAACATGGTTATTCCAATCTAAAAGTAGCAGCACACCCCTTCTGATACTCACTCTAAGCTGAGAGTGAGTAATAGACATTTTGCATCAAGTGAATGAGCCAAATATCTATAGTTTTGAGGGAAGTATTTTGTTATGTTTGGATATGAAGTGTATCCTCTCTTCCCCTCAAAAAGGCTTATGTGCTAAGGGCTTGGTCCCCAGGGGATTAAGAGGTGACTGGATCATGAGGACTCTGAGTTCAGCAGAGGGTTAACCCACTGATAAATGCATAATTTGATGGTATTCTGGGAGGTGGGCCTGGCTGAGGAAGTAGGTCATGCCTTTGAAGGGTATCTTATGCGTGGTCCCTTCCTGTCTCTTTCTCTGTGCTTCCTGGCTGCCATGAAATGAATAGCCTCCTTATCCACATACTTTCACTGTCATGATGTTCTTTTTCACCTTGGGCCCAAGGCAATGGATCCAGCTTATCTTTGACCAGAACCTCTGAATCTGTAAGCCAAAATAAGTCTTTTTTTCTTAAGTTGTTCATTATAGTACCTTGTCACAGTGATGGAAAAGTGACTAACACATATTTAAAAATTCATAGTAAGATAAACACCTTTCCTTAAAAAATATTATATTGACAAAAATGTGCTTCAGCAAAAAAAAAAAAAAATTTCAATTTTCTCAACCTTTCACAATATTGCCAGTTATGACGGAGTGAAAGGAAACAGCAGTGAGTCAAGAACTGAGGGCCCTGGGAGAGCTTCTCTGGTACATTCCCCGAAGACCACAAAGCCCATGACTGGAATGAAAGGAAGTGTGTGTGAGTGTGTGAGCGCATGCGCAAGTGTGCACACGCGTGCGTGCGAGTGTGTGAGTGCATGCACGCGAGTGTGTAAGTGTGAGGGTGTGAGTGTGTGTGTGTGTTTGGGGGGCCGAGGGCTTAAAAGCTGCTTTTGCTGAGGAACACTGATTTCTTACTTGGACCCATGAATTAACTAAAGGCAGGAAACAGATGATTGTGATACCTCTTTTCCATACAAATGGAAGGAATATATGGATAGTGGGGCAAATGGAAGGGGACTACAAAAAGGAAAAACTTTTGGTATAGCCAGCTTGCATACTGGCCAATTAACTCTAGTTATTAATTAAACTGACATTTTTCCCTCTTTGCCTACATGCTGGAGAGCCCATGGTTAACTTCCTCTACTCTTCAATTAAACCACACAGACTTACCCCCTTATCTCTGACCACTAGAGAAGTAAAGTTATCAGCCAAGACATACAACTTCAGAGATGTGGTGCCCAGACACCTAGAGAACCAAGACCAGCACCCATTCTGGGATGTGCATTTCATCACGCACTCAAACTAACTCAGCTTCAAAACTCCCCTTTAAAAAGCAGACATTTTCTCATAGAAGTGGGATGACAGAGCTTTGAGAAGTTGACACTCATCTTCCTGTGTGACAAATAACAAACCTTGTATCTTTTTCCTTAAAAATTCTGCTCTCGTTATTTGTGAATTGGCATTGGGACCAGGGACCAGCTTTCCAGTAATAGGAGTTAAACCTTCTGCAAGCTAGAGTTGTCCAATATTTGTTTTTAACAACAATGAAAGGAATCCTAATTGATTTGTCTATTTATTTATCACAGACAATTTTTTATACTACCTCTTTGTGGCATATAGTTGAGAAGAGGTCAAAGAACTAAATGACACTGCAAGATATTAAAAATCTCAACAAATGCCTACACCCATCTGTCTATCAATGTAAGCAGGATTTCTCAAGCCTTGTATTTATTTAAAAGAACACAACTGTTACTGAAAATCCTGTCTTACTCTAGCAGTAGGTGATGGTCATCCCAGATATCTAAACCTAATTGAAAAAAATCTTTTCAGCAATATACAAATAACATTTTACATTTTATGCTAACATTTTCATAAACCTTTGTTTATAATTTTGACCACTCATATACTAATATTTATAAGAACAATGATGCAAAGAAACTTTTAGTACTAAAGTCTTATGGTCATAAGATATAAATTTATAAATCACATTTTTATACATATCTTTGTGACAATGAAACATAGGGTGATCAATAAAATGCCTTGAGAGATTTAAAAAAATTAAGTTATGATACTATCCAATAGGAAGAATGAAAAAAATGAGTTAAAGGATAAAATGGGATATAAGCTTTTTGAACATTAAAAAACAGCTTATATTTATTCAACAGAATGATGGTGGCAATCAACTCTCTGTGGTAATCTGGATTCCACTGGGTACCTTTAAGAGCAATAAAACACTTTCATTTTTGAAAGACAGCACTCAATACACGCCAAACTTTTGTTATCTCTTACAATGATCTAGCGCTACAATCATATCACTTGCAGGCAGCTGAACAAGCTCAGGGTTGGTCTGGCAGGGCCCTGAGTATGAGCACCTAGGTCTTGGCGTTGGTTTCCACAGTCAGTGAGCTCGAACACCATGGCCTCATCTCTGGACAGGCCCTGCTGAGAAAGCCTTAGAGCATGGAGAGAAGAAGGAAGAAAACAGGGGAAAGGATGGTGCGATTAAGGAGTCCTTCAGCAAAAGGATAAGGGAAGTGAGGAAATAGGGAACAAAGGGTTCAAAAAATGAGTCAACACCAGCATTACTTCTGGGAAGCTGGGAACTGTTTGCTAAAGCTTTAATCACAGAGAGATTTGGATTGAATTCCAGTTATGTAAAGTATTTATTTCATGGAATATAACCCAACATTTTCATAACATAACCCTGTCCAAAACAGACTTAGAGAAGAAAAGAAGGATGTCATTGGTCTGGGAAATATAAGTCTCTCTATGCTTTTTGGAAATAAGTAAAGCAAAACGTGTGTATATCGGGAGTGTAGGAGATGCTGATCCTTGCTGAAGACAGTGTCATGGGCACTGGGAGTCCAGGGCAGCAAATGCCTGAAGAAGAAATAAGGATCTTATTCAGAGTGAGACAAAATCAGATCTAGACCACACCTAGCAGCTACTGTGAGTTTTAAGTCACATATTGTGAATGACAATACACCATGAAATTATATCACACTGGGGGCAGTGTTTTAGAAACTGTTGGGACTAAACCCCAATTCAGTGTTGAATAGTGAGGATACCATGGGGCGGCAGGGGTGCTCACACCTTCACTCTGACCTGAAACACTGCTCAAGCTGACAAGGACAGTGTGAATCACATTTCCTCTGCTATTTTTAAGACCTAGTACCAAATCAAGAAACTGGGACAGGCTAGGTGCAGTGGCTCATGCATGTAATCCCACCTACTCAGGAAACAGAGATCAGGAAGATTAAGGTTTGAGTCCAGCCCAACTGAAAAAGTTATCCAGATCCCATCTCAACAAACAAGCTAGGCATAGTAGAGAATGAATGTAATATTAGCTACATGGGAGATGTCAGTAGGAGAACTGTAGTCCTAGCCAGCCCTAGGCAAAAAGTGAGACATCCCATCTGAGAAATAACTGTAGTTATTTTTGCTTTAGCAAAAATGGGCTGAGCAGGAGGGCTCAGATGGTAGAGTGCCTGTCTAAAAGTGAGACCTTGAATTCAAATCCTAGTGCCCTCTCCAAGAAGAAAAAAGAAAAGAAACTGGGACAAAGCTAGGGTAAGGGTAAGAAATGATAGCTAAAGGGTATGCTTCTGTAACTGAGACTGACCCCCCTCCACAGAAAGGACCTGAATGAAACTATCTGGATTACTAATTGTAACAGAATCATGAACCTGAAATATATATAATTTATATCTAATATATATACAAAATCCCTTCATTTTGAGTTAAGTACACTTGAACCTATGGATACTACTATTTTCCAAGGTTTGACCTTTTTCTTTTGTGGGGTGGGGGGGTTTGACCAAGTAAAAAATATTAGAGGAGGCTGATGCCAAGAATTACTCTAAAAATTTACTCTAGTGATAAAACTTTTATCTCTCTCTTAAAGTGGCTTATCTTCAATCTCTACTGGTACTCAATGCTTATACCTTTTGATTGTTCTGCTACCTAGGAGAGAGACACAGCCCAAAGAACAGTACTTCCAGTGATTTCCTTTTAACCCACACTAATAAATCTTCTCCTAGAACACTGGTCTCTTACAACCCTGGCAGAGAGCTATGCCCCCTGCGGCTCTCTCTCCAGGCTTTTAACCAGCATACAGAGGCTTCAGATCATTCCATGGTGCCCTTTCAACCCCAGCTGCTTTTATTTGCTCTATTTTGTTTATGATTCAGTCTAAGTGTTTATTTGCACAAGTAGTTCTGTATCTAAAAATAAAACCATGCTCAACAGAAATAAACGATCTTTCAGGGAGTGACAGATACGATTCAACACAACATTATTCCTAACCTTTGAAAGAACAGTTAGTCCTACTTTAGACAGAATGCTTGCTAAAGATGTAAGCTAGGCAGGCTGTTGGTCACCTGCATGAACAAATTCATGACACCACCAATGCAACTGACACCTGGACAAACAGGTTGCAGGACACAAACTTGACAAGAGACAAACAGAAAACTGCAATTTGGCCAAAAGGACTAAACTATACGTGACACTCTCATACAAATTCCTTTGACCACATCTGTCTTAGACAGATGTGGCACTGATTCTATAGGACAGTAGTCTTCATACCATGGGTTCTGATTCATCAAGTTGTGAGATCAACTCATTACTTTAATATAACAGAAAATATCAACTGAAGTATTGATGAGTATGCTTTTGTGAACCTGGTTTTCATTTTAGGGACAGACACACATGTACATAACTGTACAGTGGATCACAATGGTAAACATGTTTTCCTAAGGGTTTGAGAAATACTAACTGCAGAATATAAATACTAATTTTCTGTCTTGAAAATTTCACTTCCAAAGAGATTAATATAGTCTGCAAAAAAGTCTAATAAAACTGTAGATTATCCTATTTAAGTATAAATTTGTCAATATACATTTGCTTTGCCTTGAATTCTAATATAATTGAAGTAGATTTAGAGCCCATCTTCTGACTCACAGCTGTGATTACTGCTGATAATAAATACCATTTTTTGAGCACTATGCTAAACCAGAGACTATACTAGACATTTTATATTAATTGTTTGTGTTTTCACACATCCCTAAGGTACAAACTACTATCCTGATTTACACAGGAGGTAATGCTACACCTTGCCCAGGGTCTCATAGCCAGGAAGTGGAAGAGCTGGGATTAAACCCCACATTATCAGATGACAAGGTTTATTGAATTACTCTCTGTGAGGACTTAGAAAACATTAAACAGAATGTTTCTGGGATGAGCTTTTTGGAAATGATATTTTGGGGAGTCTTGGATGACATCACTATTCAGAATAGAAGCACTAGAAGACACATCAGCAGTTGAAAGGGTTTCAGAAGGACATGTTCAGAAGGTGACTACTTCTCAGGAAAGGGAAAGGTCTGGAAGTCCTCCCAGGTGATGTTGAATCATAACATTTAACAAGGTAATGTTCAGGCAGACTCTTTGGCACTTCAGGCCCCATGTGTTCTTTACTTTTCATCATTCTTGGTGGTGAAAGGACATGCTAGGAAGAGTTAAAGAGAATTTTACTCAAAGTTCCAACCTGACCGACAATCAGGCAGTGGTGTTAACTGCCCTCTTAAAGGGCACCCAGGGAGTTACACGAAATACTGCTGTCTTCCCACTGCCCCTAAATCAGATCCACCTGCACAGACAATGAAAAACACATATTCCAGATATTCCTCTTTTACAGTTATGAATCCAAAGTCCAAAGCTTGTTTTATGCACAGAAGTGTATGTGAAATCATACAGTACACTGTGGGAATCTGGTCTTTGAGAGAATTTCTGAGTAACTTTATGGGGAAATATGTGGTGTATGACAGGAAAAGAGCATTTTCTTATTTTCTTACAATGAAAAGTTACATTAAAGCCATAAAAGTGGCTCAAATTTTGTGAGGAAAACTTAATCTAAGATTGAGATTTTTGACTCTTGTATGTTTCCACATTCTTGTGCACCCTGCATGCAAACATCTAGAGATTCCCTTCTGAAAGATATGCAATTAAAGCTTGATGCCACATGATAAAATGGAGAGTAACTTTACCATTCCAATACACTTCCTGAGGATGCTCCAGATACTGAAGTCGTTTCTGGAAAACATAGGTGAGGGCAAACTCGTTCTGAAAAAGAAAAGAAAATCAAACAGTTCACTTTCATGCCATTGACACTAGAAAGGAAAACCTGTTGTCATTAACATGTGAGTGCATACATCTATTCACAATAGCCAAGTTATGGAAACAGCCAAGATGCCCCACCACTGACGAATGGATCAAGAAAATGTGGTATCTATACACAATGGAATTCTATGCAGCCATGAAGAAGAACAAAATGTTATCATTCGCTGGTAAATGGATGGAATTGGAGAACATCATTCTGAGTGAGGTTAGCCTGGCCCATAAGACCAAAAATCGTATGTTCTTCCACATATGCGGATATTAGATCAAGGACAAACACAAGGGGACTGGACTTTGATCACATGATAAAGCAAGAGCACACAAGGGAGGTATGAGGATAGATAAGACACCTCAAAAACTAGATAGCATTTGTTGTCCTCAACGCAGAGAAACTAAAGCAGATACTTTAAAGCAACTGAGGCCAATAGGAGAAGGGGACCAGGAACTAGAGAAAAGGTTAGTTCAAGAAGAATTAACCTAGAAGGTAACACACACGCACAGGAAATTAATGTGAGTCAACTCCCTGTATAGCTATCCTTACCTCAACTAGCAAAAACCCTTGGTCCTTCCTATTATTGCTTATACTCTCTCCTCAACAAAATTAGAGATAAGGGCAAAATAGTTTCTTCCGGGTATCGAGGGGGTGGGGGGGAAGGGAGGGGGTGGGGGAGAAAGGGAGGAGGTGGGGAAGGGGGAAGAAATGACCCAAACATTGTATGCACATATAAATAAAATAAAAATTAAAAAAAACCATGTGAGTGCACACACGTACAGAGACACTTTGTGTGTACTGTCATAGACAGGGCACAACGGGATGTACTCCTTCACTGCTATTCTGGCCCCTGAAAAGTCTTGTAACAAATCAGCAGCCCTCAGTCTTTAGCATAGCAGTGAACCCAGTGCCCCTCATCCTTCCCAGTCCTTGGGGTCCAGGATCACCACAGAGGTACACTATCTTATCACATGCTACACATCTAACCTTCTTGTCTGACTCACATTCTGGTACCTAACAAATTATTGTACTTTAGCTGCTAAATGCTGTAAACAAAGTGCCATCACAGAGCCCAAAGGTTTCTGGGAGTTACATGGGAAAATGTAGAAAAACTATCAAAGCCAAAGTAAAATTTCGAGCCTGCATCACACATTAGTTCTTCCCTCAGGACACTGACCAAAACTGAGCAAGTCTAGATATATTAGAAAGCTCTTTACAGATTGAACATTGGCAGGAAAAGCATCTTCAAAGCCTCTGCAGAGGTTTAGAAGCACCCAGAGGGATGGTGGTTTTCAGAGGCAGAGGGTCTGTGACTAACACCTCATCAGGGTTAAGGTGTTCTAATGCCAGATGGGGTGGGCATTCCCACAGGCCAGAATGGCACCACCACAGGAATCAAGGGCAAGGGGATGCCCACACCAGCTTTCCAAAGCATTGGTAATAGCATTGACTCTTCAGTTATCTCAGGTTACAACAAGAGATGCCAGTTTTCTAGTTGCCTTCTGAAATACATCCATACAACTAAAATATTAAAGAAAATATAAAACAAAAACATCTTCTAAAGAACTTAAATGTTAAACCTTAATAAAATTTGAAGTTTTTCAACAAATAGTAGTATCTCAAATCCTCCACAGTGAAATTCTTCTGGTTTCTTCTTTGTCATGAACATACTCATTTGTCAGATTTGCCATCTAACCAATCTGCTGGATAAGTGGCCACAGATGGTATTTAAATCACAGTCCCCATTCTCCAAAACTATTAATCTCTGTGGCATGAACAATGGATAGCAGGAATAGGAATCTGCTACTAATCACCATGTGCATGTATAATGTAGGGGTGTGTGTGTGTGTGTGTGTGTGTGTGTGTGTGTACTGAATTCCCCATCTCCTGGCCATGAAACAGTCATCCGGAAATGTAACACACCTCAGAAGTTATAAACCCAAAATGAAGACTGAGGGCTGTAATCCCCAACAAATGTTTACATTAAAAGTACAGGTATGTCTACTGTTCTGATTAAAGATAAGAGCAGATGGTAAGAAAAGGAACAAATATCTTGGAGACATTTCTTGAAGGCAAAGGTAAGAGACCTTGTGCTTTATAATTATTCTCAGTTTACAAACAGGATTGTCACCAAGAGTCCTACCTGAAATATCCTATACTCATTCTTATGCATATACCTTCTGTGCTATTTTATGAAAATGTAATAATTACTCATTTATGAGGATTATCACAACCAGAAAGCAGAGATGAAAGGCATTTTGAAAGGTAATGGCTGTTATTTTCTTGTGTAGGACATGCAGAGTCAAGCACAAAAACTAATTCAGACCATACTGAGTCTTGATCAGAAACACAATGAGCTGATCAGAAATAGCAAGAGAAACACTGGTCATGAGCACCACCCAGAAGTTTTGGTTTCGTAAATGACCTCGGGGTTGTTCACCATGATCTAAGTCAACAGCTTGATGAGGCTACCAGAAAGACAGACGCAACTGCAGACTACCAATGGGAGCAGAGAGGCAAAGCAGCTGCACGATCCCATTTTTTAAAAGGAATCTCAACCCCCCTGCTCAGGAGGACTTATCAGAGGCTAGACAAAGGTGCCTGGAAAACATTTCTTACATGCAATGATGAAGGGAAGAACCACAAGAAACTGGAAGCCTGGGGAATGCAGGCATGACAGAGGCCCTTCAGTATCAGAGGGTGGAGCCTTGAGGCAGGAGTAATACCTTCCCCTAACACTCCCAATGCCCCCTCCCTCTCTGCCTGCTTCATCTTTCTACACAGCACTGATCAATACACGCCATGGTACAGTCTCTTGCTTACTTGTGACTATGTGGCCCAAACCACATATAAACTGAGAATTCACATTTTATTTACTAATATGGCCTGGACACCTCGGACAGTGCCTAACACATAGAAGTCGAAGTATTTGTTCAATAAGCTTTGGGATTATCTCTTTCACAAAGAATTTGGTTTACTCTCTGCTACCCAGGAAAGTAAGACTAGTACTACTGGTGAAAGTTTATGTTAGTGTGGCTGTCATACAGGCTTGTTTTACAATTAATTCCAACAATGGCAGAGAGAGATTCTGCCTCCGGAAGGGTTTCGGGCCGAGGTGCATCAGGCATGGCATGTAAAACCATTCCTGGCATGGAAAGGCATTTCTGTATGGGGTAGAAAACTGCTCTGGACTTGTCAGGTCAGGGATGCTATGCTGTGGGATAGCCTATGCGGAATAAGACACTCAGCCCCAACATCAACAGGACTAAGGTGGAGGAGGTCTGTCAGAGGAATACTACCAGCATCTTAACATAATTTCAAAAGATGTAGAAGCCATGCTAAAAAAGTGAAAAGGAATAAGATAAACTAATTTTAGTATTTTATTTAACCATTGTATCTAAAATATCATCATTTTATCATGTATTGATATAAAAATTATTACCAAGACATTGTGTACTCTTTCCCAGTATGGTCTTCAAAACCCACTGTGCATTCTACACTTGGAGCACATCTCAATGTAGCTACTATTTTCAATAAAGTGAAATCTAATCATAACAAAACAAAGCTGTGTTTGGTGGAAATATATTTTATTCTGCCTCATTTAATAACTTAATACAGTCATACACAGTTAGAGGCAATGGGACAGAGCAGACCCAGGAGTACACTATTTGAAGACTGTGGGTAGAAGAATAAAAAAACTGCTCAATTACAGGAGAAAGTCAATTAGAGACCAAAAAAACCAACAACAACCACCACCACTAAAAAACAGCTTAAAGCCTAATCATAAGAAAATGCTAAACCTTTTGCAGTATTAAAGCAGAAATAATAAAGTAATTTTATAATAGATCAAAATTTTTTTATTTTAAAATTTTATTCTCTCCACCAAGAAAGAAGAGAGAAATCCTTACTGATGCTGGATGGTGGTGTTACTCGATACCAATCAGGATTCTCACATTGAAAGCAGAGATTGGTGGTTCTGTCCCCCTGGAGTGGATCTGAGGGTCATTATCTTGCATTCTATGGTCCCTTTTTCCTTCATGCAGAGAGAAAACACTCTGTACCAGGGACTGACAGTGCTATGCCTGGTTCTATTTTCGCCCATACAGATGACATTATGACTATCTACACAACAGCACAGTAGCTGCTTTCTAAATGAGAAGTCTCCTTGAAGTTGTTTTATCTTTGTGATGGAAATGGCTCCACTTGTTAGCCCACCATTATTTCCCTGCTACACACTGTTGTAGACAGAGCCCAAATGGAGCCAAATCATTATGAAGTGTGACAAACAAATGTGGGACTCAAATCCTGCTTATTATGAAAAAAGTTGGGCAAGGTCAGGAGATCACTACGGTCCCCCTCAGGCTTTCAAGGATAACTTGGGTGACAGAAACCCTAAGAAAGGCTCCACGGGACAGGCTTCACAGAAATTGTATAGTGTCCCTTCATCCACCTGCTAGACACCACCTATCACCTTCCTTTTCTTGCTCTATGGATAGCTAAGTTAAACATACAACATGGCTTGCTCACGGAGACGCTTGGAAAAAACAATTGTAAAACACAGGCAGGCAAAATGAAGCTTTGGGCTCCAAGTATGTCATGCTGTTCACATTTGCTCCTAACTTCTCAGGAGGCACCTATGAGCTCTGTATCTTGAGTATGGGCATGTACGTACTTCATTGAAATAGTTATACTTGAGGGGGGGTCTTTTTCATGCAGGACACTAAAAACAAAACATGGGATGGGAATCCCAGTTATACTGTGCTCTTGATACTTAATGCTTCCCTGCAGAGCCTTGGGCCAATCTTCCAAGTCAAGGCTACCCATTCAATTCACCTTACTTAGCAGTTAAATCTGTACTAAGGAAAGTAATGCCCAGGACAATTAAGAGTCCTGGAAATGAAGGTTCAGTTTCTGACCTATATCAGTTTTAATGAACTTTCTAAATTCTTTGTTA